GTCTCAGGTCCCACTGTCTCAGGTACCACTGTCTCAGGTACCGCTGTCTCAGGTCCCACTGTCTCAGTCAGGTACCAATGTCTCAGGTACCACTGTCTCAGGTACCAATGTCTCAGGTACCAATGTCTCAGGTACCCTTGTCTCAGGTACCACTGTCTCAGGTCCCACTGTCTCAGGTACCGCTGTCTCAGGTACCACTGTCTCAGGTCCCACTGTCTCAGGTACCCTTGTCTCAGGTACCACTGTCTCAGGTACCACACTGTCTCAGGTACCACTGTCTCAGGTACCGCTGTCTCAGGTACCCTTGTCTCAGGTACCACTGTCTCAGGTACCACACTGTCTCAGGTACCACTGTCTCAGGTACCGCTCTCTCAGGTACCACTGTCTCAGGTACCACTGTCTCAGGTACCGCTCTCTCAGGTACCACTGTCTCAGGTACCGCTCTCTCAGGTACCACACTGTCTCAGGTACCACTGTCTCAGGTACCGCTCTCTCAGGTACCACTGTCTCAGGTACCGCTCTCTCAGGTACCACTGTCTCAGGTACCACTGTCTCAGGTACCACTGTCTCAGGTACCACTGTCTCAGGTACCACTGTCTCAGGTACCACTGTCTCAGGTACCACTGTCTCAGGTACCACTGTCTCAGGTACCACTGTCTCAGGTACCACTGTCTCAGGTACCAATGTCTCAGGTACCACTGTCTCAAGTACCACTGTCTCAGTCAGGTACCACTGTCTCAGGTACCACTGTCTCAGTCAGGTACCACTGTCTCAGGTACCACTGTCTCAGGTACCACTGTCTCAGGTACAACTGTCTCAGGTACAACTGTCTCAGGTCCCACACTGTCTCAGGTCCCACTGTCTCAGGTACCACTGTCTCAGGTCCCACTGTCTCAAGTCCCACTGTCTCAGGTCCCACACTGTCTCAGGTACCACTGTCTCAGGTACCACTGTCTCAGGTCCCACTGTCTCAGGTCCCACACTGTCTCAGGTCCCACACTGTCTCAGGTACCACTGTCTCAGGTACCACTGTCTCAGGTCCCACACTGTCTCAGGTACCACTGTCTCAGGTACCACTGTCTCATGTACCACTGTCTCATGTACCACTGTCTCAGGTACCACTGTCTCAGGTATCACTGTCTCAGGTACCACTGTCTCAGGTACCACTGTCTCAGGTACCACTGTCTCAGGTACCACTGTTTCAGGTACCACTGTCTCAGGTACCTCTGTCTCAGTCAGGTACCACTGTCTCAGGTACCTCTGTCTCAGTCAGGTACCACTGTCTCAGGTACCACTGTCTCAGTCAGGTACCACTGTCTCAGGTACCACACTGTCTCAGGTACCACTGCCTCAGGTCCCACTGTCTCAGGTACCACTGTCTCAGGTACCACTGTCTCAAGTCCCACTGTCTCAGGTACCACTGTCTCAGGAACCACTGTTTCATGTACCACTGTCTCAGGTACCTCTGTCTCAGTCAGGTACCACTGTCTCAGGTACCTCTGTCTCAGTCAGGTACCACTGTCTCAGGTACCACTGTCTCAGTCAGGTACCACTGTCTCAGGTACCACACTGTCTCAGGTACCACTGCCTCAGGTCCCACTGTCTCAGGTACCACTGTCTCAGGTACCACTGTCTCAAGTCCCACTGTCTCAGGTACCACTGTCTCAGGTCCCACTGTCTCAGGTACCACTGTCTCAGGTCCCACTGTCTCAGGTACCACTGTCTCAGGTCCCACTGTCTCAGTCAGGTACCAATGTCTCAGGTACCACTGTCTCAGGTACCACTGTCTCAGGTCCCACTGTCTCAGGTACCACTGTCTCAGGTACCACTGTCTCAGGTCCCACTGTCTCAGGTCCCACTGTCTCAGGTCCCTCTGTCTCAGGTACCAATGTCTCAGGTACCACTGTCTCAGGTACCACTGTCTCAGGTCCCTCTGTCTCAGGTACCACTGTCTCAGGTACCACTGTCTCAGGTACCACTGTCTCAGGTCCCACTGTCTCAGGTACCACTGTCTCAGGTACCACTGTCTCAGGTACCACTGTCTCAGGTACCACTGTCTCAAGTACCACTGTCTCAGGTCCCTCTGTCTCAGGTACCACTGTCTCAGGTACCACTGTCTCAGGTCCCTCTGTCTCAGGCCCCACACTGTCTCAGGTCCCACTGTCTCAGGTACCACTGTCTCAGGTACCACTGTCTCAGGTACCGCTGTCTCAGTTACCACTGTCTCAGGTGCCACTGTCTCAGGTACCACTGTCTCAGGTACCACTGTCTCAGGTCCCTCTGTCTCAGGTCCCACACTGTCTCAGGTCCCACTGTTTCAGGTCCCACTGTCTCAGGTACCACTGTCTCAGGTACCGCTGTCTCAGGTCCCACTGTCTCAGTCAGGTACCACTGTCTCAGGTCCCACTGTCTCAGGTACCACTGTCTCAGGTACCGCTGTCTCAGGTCCCACTGTCTCAGTCAGGTACCACTGTCTCAGGTCCCACTGTCTCAGGTCCCACTGTCTCAGGTACCACACTGTCTCAGGTACCACTGTCTCAGTCAGGTAAAACTGTCTCAGGTCCCACACTGTCTCAGGTCCCACACTGTCTCAGGTCCCACACTGTCTCAGGTCCCACACTGTCTCAGGTACCACTGTCTCAGGTCCCACTGTCTCAGGTACCACTGTCTCAGGTACCACTGTCTCAGGTCCCACTGTCTCAGGTCCCACTGTCTCAGGTACCACTGTCTCAGGTACCGCTGTCTCAGGTACCGCTGTCTCAGGTACCGCTGTCTCAGGTACCGCTGTCTCAGGCACCACTGTCTCAGGTACCGCTGTCTCAGGTACCACTGTCTCAGTCAGGTCCCACTGTCTCAGTCAGGTCCCACTGTCTCAGGTACCACACTGTCTCAGGTACCACTGCCTCAGGTCCCACTGTCTCAGGTACCACTGTCTCAGGTACCACTGTCTCAAGTCCCAATGTCTCAGGTACCACTGTCTCAGGTACCACTGTCTCAGGTCCCTCTGTCTCAGGTACCACTGTCTCAGGTACCACTGTCTCAGGTACCACTGTCTCAGGTACCAATGTCTCAGGTACCGCTGTCTTAGGTACCACTGTCTCAGGTACCACTGTCTCAGGTCCCACTGTCTCAGGTACCACTGTCTCAGGTACCACTGTCTCAGGTACCACTGTCTCAAGTACCACTGTCTCAGGTCCCTCTGTCTCAGGTACCACTGTCTCAGGTACCACTGTCTCAGGTCCCTCTGTCTCAGGCCCCACACTGTCTCAGGTCCCACTGTCTCAGGTACCACTGTCTCAGGTACCACTGTCTCAGGTACCGCTGTCTCAGTTACCACTGTCTCAGGTGCCACTGTCTCAGGTACCACTGTCTCAGGTACCACTGTCTCAGGTCCCTCTGTCTCAGGTCCCACACTGTCTCAGGTCCCACTGTTTCAGGTCCCACTGTCTCAGGTACCACTGTCTCAGGTACCGCTGTCTCAGGTCCCACTGTCTCAGTCAGGTCCCACTGTCTCAGGTCCCACTGTCTCAGGTACCACTGTCTCAGGTACCGCTGTCTCAGGTACCGCTGTCTCAGGTACCGCTGTCTCAGGTACCGCTGTCTCAGGCACCACTGTCTCAGGTACCGCTGTCTCAGGTACCACTGTCTCAGTCAGGTCCCACTGTCTCAGTCAGGTCCCACTGTCTCAGGTACCACTGTCTCAGGTACCACTGTCTCAGGTACCACTGTCTCAGGTACCACTGTCTCAGGTCCCTCTGTCTCAGGTCCCACTGTCTCAGGTACCAATGTCTCAGGTACCACTGTCTCAGGTACCACTGTCTCAGGTACCGCTGTCTCAGGTACCACTGTCTCAGGTACCACACTGTCTCAGGTACCACTGTCTCAGGTACCGCTGTCTCAGGTACCACTGTCTCAGGTCCCACTGTCTCAGGTACCCTTGTCTCAGGTACCACTGTCTCAGGTACCACTGTCTCAGGTCCCTCTGTCTCAGGTACCCTTGTCTCAGGTACCAATGTCTCAGGTACCGCTGTCTCAGGTACCACTGTCTCAGGTACCGCTGTCTCAGGTACCCTTGTCTCAGGTCCCACTGTCTCAGGTACCACTGTCTCAGGTACCACTGTCTCAGGTTCCACTGTCTCAGGTCCCACTGTCTCAGGTACCACTGTCTCAGGTACCACTGTCTCAGGTCCCTCTGTCTCAGGTACCGCTGTCTCAGGTACCACTGTCTCAGGTACCGCTGTCTCAGGTACCCTTGTCTCAGGTACCACTGTCTCAGGTACCACTGTCTCAGGTACCACTGTCTCAGGTACCACTGTCTCAGGTCCCTCTGTCTCAGGTACCGCTGTCTCAGGTACCACTGTCTCAGGTACCGCTGTCTCAGGTACCCTTGTCTCAGGTACCACTGTCTCAGGTACCACTGTCTCAGGTACCCTTGTCTCAGGTACCACTGTCTCAGGTCCCTCTGTCTCAGGTCCCACTGTCTCAGGTCCCACTGTCTCAGGTACCAATGTCTCAGGTACCACTGTCTCAGGTACCACTTTCTCAGGTGTTCTCTGGCTCTCATCTCAAGGTAAACATGCAATGGGGGGTGGGGGGGGAGGGGGGATGGTTCCAGATATTTTGATTCAGATGAAGCCTTTAAAAAAAAACAAAAAAAAAAAACAAACAACCAAAACTATTTTCAGCACTGAAAGATCTAATAATTAAAAAGGCAACGGGGAAAAATAAATAAATCAGTAATCGCAGTTGAATTTTTGCTTTGTTTGTTTGTTGTTGTTGCTATAAAATGTTTTGACGAGAAAATTGCTGAGATAAAAATGTATTTTCTGTCGTTTTCGAGCGTGTTCGTCATCGTTATTAAAACCACATTGATAGTGTCATTTGTATTTTATTTCTTTCGTTTATGTTATGAACTAATCCTAAATATAGAACAAAAAATATAAAAGGATAAAAATTAAAATCGAATCGCAAGGAGTCAAATTTGTTTTTGTGTGTTTTCAGCTCGACGTCAAAGGAAAACAGCAGATCAAGATTTGTGTGAGATGATTTGTCCGTCTCTATGATGGACTTCCGTTTTGTTGTGCTATTATTATCTCTGTGTTTTCATTGGTCAAATCAGTCGGTAGGTGAACTTAAAGGTGTAATATATTAATTAGACGAATCATTAAATTAGAAGCTTTTACCCGGGCCCCCAATGCCCAGATATCTGTCGGTTTGTCTGTTAAAAATCATCTTGTCAATTAATTATGTAGATTTCTGAAAGTAAACTTTATGCTATTTACATGCTTTTACTTAACTCACTTCCTCGTCAGTCGTCAGTCTGTCTAGGTCGAAACGGCCGAGCGAAATTTCGGACACTTGTCACTGACAGATACGGTTCATAGTTGGAACGTGGGTCAAGACATGAAGACAATGCATCGTGACATTCAATTTCACTTAATTGGATGCCTAATTAATTTTTTATGAATGAATTAAAATTTTGACCGAATTAGTACGCAGTTCTAGCCACACGCGTCATCACGGCAAAAGCGCGTTATCACGTTCAATAGGCGCGCAATGGTTTTTATTCATGTAACTCTATTGTAAATAAAAACATGTAAAGTACTAAAAAAAATTCATAAAAAACGTTTTATAACAAGCTTTTATGTAATGATGCACTAAAAAGTAGAAAATAAATTATACACCACTATTTCAATTACTATAAAGAAAAGCGTGGGTCTCATCCTAAATATTAGTAAAGGTATCCAATAGATATTAAAGTGACCCACGCTTTTCTTTATAGTTATTTAAATAGTAGTGTATAATTTATTTTCTACTTTTTAGTGCACCATTACATAAAAGCTTGTTATTAAAACGTTTTTATGAATTATTTATTTATTTATATTTTTCATCCCAGTATACACATAGGGTTAAAGATTTTGATTTTTTTGTATCACAGTGTCATAAAAAGAAAAAAAAATATCTAGTCGGCCCTATTATATTTCACATTTTCTTTCTAACTATTAATATTTCGTTTGTTTAAAAAATCGAACAAAAGTATTCAAAATTTTAGAAACGATCGATTTAACTCGTTTTTTTTTCTAACTACTTGTTGAAAATTAAAAGACATTTCATTATTTTAAAAGCTACTAATCACCATAATCAGTGGAATGTCTCTGAGTCCACCCAGCTCTGATGGGTACCTAATTTACGTTAGGGAAACAAAGGCGTCTAGGCATAGTGCTGACCACACTATCCCTTCATATGCCGAGGTCTCTGAAGCAGATGAACTCTACTTCATCTGTCCCCTGTATCTTGGGCACGAACGGGAAAAGAATATGATGATGAATCATCATATTGATCACATACGTCTTTTGTTTAATTTTGAAAATTGGAAGGTTATAAAATTAATAAACTCTGTACTGTAAACAAAAATAAATATCACGTGATTTAGTTGTTGACCCTTGTGTTTTGTGTATCACGTGACCCAGACGAACGTAGCCCCGCCCCCTGACATCATGCTCTCGACGATCGATGTGGAGGTGAACGAGAAGGAGGACAGGCAGATTGACCTGCACGGGGGCGCGCTGGTCACGTGTGCGGACGACGACCCCTCCCGGGCGTACATCGCCACTGTGACGCCCAGCTCCCCCTGTGGGAAGAAATGTTTTCAGCTGCAGCCCTGTGGAGGCGCCGGCAACGCTTCAGGTTGGTGGAGGTGGGGGTGTAGGGGGTGAGGGTGTAGGGGGTGGGGGCGCTGGCAACGCCTCAGGTTGGTAGAGGTTTTGTTTCATTTATTTGATGTGGGGGTGTGGGAGGTGTAGGAGTGGGATGGAGGTGTAGGGGTGGGGTGTAGGAGGTGGGGGTGTAGGGAGTGGGGACGCCGGCAACGCTTCAGGTTTGTGGTTTTGTTTGAAACTGGTGGAGGTGGGGGTGTAGGGATGGGGTGTAAGAGATAAGGGTGTAGGTGGTGGGGGTGTAGGAAGTAGACAATATTTCAAGTATTTTAGCCCTATGACGTCTGGGGTGGGTGGGATAAGGAAGAGAAAAGGGGCGGGGGAAACAGCAATCTTTTGTCATTCTTGTTTGGTAAATTACTTTAATACAAATCCCTGTCTGTATTTTCTATCATTTTAAATCAGACTGTAACCCATTGCCCCACAGAATTCTGCCTGTATTTCCTACCAAGCGAGGGGTCCCTCAACTACGTCTCCGCCCCCGCCTACACGCTGAGCATTGGCTGCACTGATGACGTAGAACCGACGTCATTCAAGACCATGACGGTGACCGTGGTGCCAAACACACCCCCAGTCTTCGTCCCAGCCACGCCCTTGACTGGTAAGTCACGTGATCTAAAGTTGACTTGTAAAAAAAAATAAAAAATTTGGCCATAAACAATAGTACAACTTTTTAGCCACTGAAACATTAAAACTCTGGCCACACCTAGCATTGCAACTTTGGCTATATCTAACATTAAAAGGTTGGCCTTAATTTTAAAATCTGGCCACATGCAACCTTAAAACTTTGGCCACATGTAAAATTAACACGTTGGCCAAATGTAACATTAAAACTTTGACCACATGTAAAATAAAAATTATGACCACATGCAACATAAAAATTTGGACCACATGTAATATAAAAACCCTGGCCACATGTAACATACAAACTTTGGCCACATGTAATATAAAAACCCTGGCCACATGTAACATACAAACTTTGACCACATGTAATATAAAAACCCTGGCCACAGGTAAAATTAACCCGTTGGCCAAATGTAGCATTGAACATTTGGCCACATGTAGCATAAAAACCAAATTAAACCTTTCAGCCAGTGTGACCGTGGATGGGTCAGCGACCAAAGCCGGCACTGTACTCTATGACGTCAACGCCAACGACATCGACGGCGACCCGATCTACTACACAGCAACATACAGCCCGCTGACCAGCTACATCAGCACAGGCCTAAGTAAGTGTTCACATTACACTACACAGCCCTAGGCCGGTGTTCACATTAAACTGAAAAACCAATAGCGTTCACATTACACTACATCATCCAAGTTTTAAAAAAAATTAATAAAAAACGTTTTAATTTTAATCGTGGGTCACTTTAGTACTTTAGTACCTATTGGATACCTTTACTAATATTTGAGAAGAGACCCACGCTTTTCTTTATAGTAATTTAAATAGTAGTGTATAATTTATTTTCTACTTTTTAGTGCATCATTACATAAAAGCTTGTTATTAAAACGTTTTTTATGAATTTTTTTTCAGTACTTTACATGTTTTATTTGCAATAGTGTTACAAGACTAAAAACCATTGCGCGTCTATTGAACGTGATAGCGCAGCTATTAAACCTGATTGAACGTGATGACGTATGTGGTGTGGTTGAATAGACATGCCTACTAATTCAGTCCAAATTTTAATTAATTCATAAAAAATTAATTAGGCATCCAATTAAGTCAAATTTAGATTCAGATTGCATTGTCTTCATGTCTTGACCCACGTGCCAACTGTGAATCGTATCGGTCAAGTAGAACTGTCCGAATTTTCACTCCTGCGTTTCCATCTAGACTGACGACAGACTGTCGACAGAGTGTCGACAGAGGAAGTGAGTTAAATAAAAGCTTGTAAAAAGCGTTACCTTTATGACCATGTACTGAAGTGAGGCCTATTTGAATGTTTCAATAAAACTTACTTATACAAACATACAGTAGGCTACTTATAAAACTAACACCAAAACATAAAATTTCACCCGGCAGCAAATGGCGAGATTCGCGCCACAAATGACCTCAAGTACGTCTGCCAAAGTTCCATCACGGCTACCATCAAAGCCACCGACAACTACAACCCGCCCATCACAAAAACTGTGGAGATCACACTCAATCGTAAGCTGAACAGATGACATGTGACATTTAGTTAGTGACATGACATGTAACATACAGATATTGACATGTGACATTCAGTTAATGATATGAAGTGTAACATACAATTGACATGACATGTGACATGCAGTTGATGATATGACATGACATCATTTAGTTAATGACATGACATGTGACATACAATAAGTGGTATGTCACGTGATATACAGCTACTGACATGACATGCGACTCTTGTTCATGACATGACATGTGATATACATTTAGTGACATATCAAGGGACATAAAGTTAATGACATCTTATAGTTAGTGACGTCACAAGTGACATGGTACACATAGCGCCGTGCGAGACCGTACAGCTAATGACATGACATGTGACATACAGTTCGATAACACGATATGCGACATACAGGTAGAGTACAGTCAAGTGACAGACAGTTACTGCCATGTCATATGACATACAGTTAAATTACATGACATGTGACGTTGAGTTAGATGACATGTCATGTGACATACAGCTAGTGCCATGACAGCGCCACCATTACTGACACATCCTACCGTCTGCCCCAGCCCACAACACGCCCCCCACCATCACCAACCTGGACACCACCATCCCAGTGGAAGAGAACTCTGGCGCGCTAAAAACCGTTCTGACGCTCGGCATGGTAGACGACGGCATCGGCACCGTCTCCTGCAAGATGTCGTCGGTCTCGGACGCCGGACTGGAGATGTACAAGCTGGTCATGCCCGGTGAGTCTATTTTTAGATTGGGGGGTCATCGGTGACGTAGGGTTGGAGCTGTGACGTCATCTCGGCGGTGACGTAAGGAGACAGTAAGAAGTTTAGCCCTAACCTAAACCATATCCATGAACCTAACCCCTAATACTAATCTTGACCGTAATTTTAACACAATGCACACAACTTAACACTAACCCAAATCCTAACATCGATAACGGATGTAAAAAGTTGAATACACTTCTGTGCTGTCATCTTTATGTTGTCGGAACCAAAGGCACTAAGTAGTTCACGCATACACCATGAAAACAGGTTTCACTATATCTACTATGTGTATGACTGTTCAAAATATCAGACGTTATGTTAAAATAGCACAAAAATTACTTAACCTCACTCAAAAATGAATTAAAATAAACCGGGAGTGATCTCCCCTAAACTTTCTCGAATATTCTTATATAAAATAACAGGGGATGGGAACTCGGGCTATAGACATGATTTTTAATCCATTTTAAATACTTAAAGTTTTAAAAATAGAATAAAATCTCGTAGACAAATTAATTGCACACCAAGTGAACGCCAAATAAAAAAGCGCATAATGGTGCGCAATATTATTATTACTTTTAAAATTTACATTAGTTTTTTGAGAAATCGGAAGTAGCGTAAAGTACTACTTCCAGTCAACGGAAATGACTCAAAATTTGATAGAAGGTAGAGAATTAGATCTTTTACTTACATATGAAATTTCATTTATCTATCTGAAATAGTACTCAACTTATAGGCTTTTGAAAAATTCAAAGTAGGAAAAGTACCACTTCCGGTTATCGGAAATCGCTCAAAAGTTGATACGGATCTACGATTTTGATAAAATACTTATATATGAAATTTCATCAACCTAGCTGTAACGGTTCTCAAGTTATCGTGTTTACACACGGACAGACAGACACACAGACACACAGACACACAGACAGACACACAGACATACGGACAAGATTGCAAAATTATGTTTTTCCGTATCAGTGAGGTGTGAAACGTCGAGATTTGTAAAAATCTCGATTTTTTTTTTTTTGCACGATTACAAGACTTTCTCTATACTTCGTATATACGAGAAAGTAAAAAAATATGTTTTCCAGCGTAGTTTTAAACCTTTAAACTATGAGTATGATAAACTGTCAATAACAGCTTATCTCAATAACCAGCTTTATTTTATTTAATTATTAACTACTATTTAGTCAGCATCAATAACCACCTGTACCCAGAGTTTCTTCAAGTGCCCCCCCCCCCCCTCCCCCTACCCTCGGAGAAAAAAGTCTGGAAGAAACACTGCCTGTACCAGCATGAATTTAACATCCCCGAATGAACCATTAGCCCCAGTTAACTTTTACAAATTTACCACCAAGACAACTTCTAATGTAAAACTTTATAACCACTGAATCAATCACACTGACCTCTATCAACTAATATTTACCACCTGTGACTTCACCAAAACCTACCGTTGGTTCAACAATTTAACGTCTTCATTACACTCAATCAGTTACCACCTTCATAATATTCAACATTTTACCATCTTCGAGGGAAACATTCACCCCCCTCTGCTATCAACTATTTACCACCCTTGAGTCAAGTATTAACCCCTCCTGCTATCAACTATTAACTACCCTCAATCAACTATTAACCCCTCCTGCTGTCAACAATTAACCACCTTGGCACCAACCATTAACCACTTCTGCCCTAGGCTACCAGCTCCAGACGAAAATTGACCCCAACTACGAGAGGTCAGACACCCGCAGTGTCAAACTCTACTTCGACTGCACGGACGGGTACTGCTCCTCCCCCACCTACTCGCTCACCCTAAACGTGCAGAACATCAACGAGCAGTGCTCGCTCACACCCTCAGTTCGCAGCGAAATCAAAGTGTATGAGGGCGATGTAAGTTCATGTTTGTGTATGAGGGTGATGTAAGTTGATGTTCGTGTGTACATAGTGTATGAGGGCGATGTAAGTTGATGTTCGTGTGTACTCAGTGTATGAGGGCGATGTAAGTTGATGTTCGTGTGTACTCAGTGTATTAGGGCGATGTAAGTTGATGTTCGTGTGTACATAGTGTATGAGGGCGATGTAAGTTGATGTTCGTGTGTACTCAGTGTATGAGGGCGATGTAAGTTGATGTTCGTGTGTACTCAGTGTATGAGGGCGATGTAAGTTGATGTTCGTGTGTACTCAGTGTATGAGGGCGATGTAAGTTGATGTTCGTGTGTACTCAGTGTATGAAGGCGACGTAAGTTGATGGCGAAATATTTGTTTTTGTGTGTGAAATTATGAGGGCGGTGTAAGTTAGTGGCGAAATATTTGTTCGTGTGTACTCAGTGTATAAAGGCGACGTAAGTTGATGGCGAAATATTTGTTCGTGTTTGTTGAGTTGTTAAATGTGGCCAGATACTTCTGTAGCTGAAATATGAATCATGCCAGGTTGGAACCGTCTGAATTTAGTATGTTAGACGGTAACCAACTTCTCAATGTGGCAAAGTTTACTAGATGATATGCCAGGTTTTTAATTTCTGAACACAGTATGCCAGGATTTAACACACAAAAAATATTTGCGGAATTTTGCCTGTTTGTATCTACCTTGACTTCTGTTCCAGATTTCTTGTGTTTAAACTCAGTATGCCAGTTTTTTAGTGTTTAAACTCAGTATGCCAGTTTTTAGTGTCTGACCTCAGTATGCCAGTGTGTAACCAGCCACTGCACCCCCCCCCCCCCAGATTGTGGCAGACACCGGCGTGACCCTGTACGACCAGGACATTGGCGACACCCACGTCTACACGAAAACCTCAGGCCCCAACGAGTTTAATGTGGACCCAGGGTCGGGCAGTATCGTGTCCACGTCTACCATAGACATTGACAAGGTGAGTGTCTGTCTACAGAGTCATGGTCAGTATCGTGTCCACGTCTACCATAGACATTGACAAGGTGAGTGTCTGTCTACAGAGTCATGGTCAGTATCGTGTCCACGTCTACCATAGACATTGACAAGGTGAGTGTCTGTCTACAGAGTCATGGTCAGTATCGTGTCCACGTCTACCATAGACATTGACAAGGTGAGTGTCTGTCTACATAGAGGGTCTACCATAGACATTGACAAGGTGAGTGTCTGTCTACATAGTGGGTCTACCATGGACATTGACAAGGTGAGTGTCTGTCTACATAGTGGGTCTACCATGGACATTGACAAGGTGAGTGTCTATTGTTACGACCCCCTTCTCTAATCCTTTCGAACTAGTCAGGGAATCGTAAACAATAAGAAGAAAATAAAAATAAATAAATGCCAACTTCAGTGATCTCTATTTATTGCCACAAAATACAACACCTAACATTAACCCGCCACCAAAGTACAACAATCAGAAATATACACAACTAGCTACACAAACTAAAGTCCTTAGAACGACTACCCTACTTGTCCCTAACTGTCTAGCCTAGCCTAGGTCTAATACATGTCGTGGCTTTCCACTAGCTCACAGAGACCACCCATGTCTGTCTCCTCTAGACCTAGCTATCCGAGACGAGTCCGTCCGTCTCCGAGTGTGTGTCCGAGTGTGTCTCCGTGTGTGTGTCCCGAGTCTACCCTCCTAAAGTACTCGTCCCCCGTTCTTCACCGTGGGAACAATTTTAATTAGCCTGATCCTAGGTCAGATCCGTCCATGACGGTCCCCTCGGTCCCGTCCGATCTGGGAGGCTTTCCCAGCCATAAACCACGGACCGTCACTAGCCTAGGTCAAGCATCAACGGTCAGCCCGTGGTGTCACCAGGTAATTAATGGGCTGTTGGCCACGTTACTACCCGAGTCCCGAAGACTACAATTCTGCCACGCCCACAGCGTGGAAACTAATCCGTGGTGTGGCCGTCAACTGCGTCAATACCCCCAGACTCTCACGGCCTATACTTGCCAGTGCATGAACAAGCCTAAGCATTTCATTTTAATTACCTGGCCCTCCTCGATGGGGTCAAACACAGGTAAAGATCCCTTGGGATCGTAACACTATCTACATAGTGGGTCTACCATAGACATTGACAAGGTGAGTGTCTGTCTACAAAGCGATCGTCAACTTAGACAAGGTGTCTGTCTATAGGGTGAACATAGACAAGGTTAGTCTACAAGAATGTGATAAAAATAGCGTAGATAACTTAATATTTCCACAGTACGTTTTGATATAGGGAAGTTAAATATAACAGCCTATGTATTAAGTGGAGTAAAGATCCAGGTGTCTTTCACAAATTAAAACATTACGAACTAGAGGAGGGGGGTGGGGCTTTCTGTGACATTTTGTAACGTGGGTCATGCTTCGGATTAAAAAATTGTCAGTATTAAGTAGAGATTAGCTATATTTTAATACGAGCTGACAGTTAACAGTGGATTCCAAGGGAGAAAAATAACATCATCGTTAGGCTAGTACTTCAGATTAAAAAATTGTGTTGCAAAAAACAAAAAAGACCCCCCCCCCTCTTTCCGCACCCCCCCCCACCAAAAAAAAACAACAATAAAGACATAGCCGAGTCTCAGATTGAAGTTTTTTTTAGTGTTGACGTTTTAGGGCGATTTGAGCCAATTGGGAGAAACATCGGTGTAAAAAACTCCGGGGAAAAGAGTGATCGCTCCTAACTGTACTATAATGTTATAATACGCCTATACAACAACCATGAAAATAGACAAAACTAACGGTCACTTAATTTTCCAAGAACACACAGGTCAAGTACTACACAGTCGGGTACAAGGCCACGGACAAGGGCGGTCTGTCCTGTACAGCGACCGTGACCTTGGCCGTGTACGACGCAAACGACAACCCGCCCTACTTCACCAACAGCCCCTACACCATGGCTGCCACAGAGTGTACGGAGTTAGGGAGTGTCATTGGTGAGTTATAAATGGGGAGTGTCATTGGTGAGTTATAAATGGGGAGTGTCATTGGTGAGTTATAAATGGGGAGTGTCATTGGTGAGATATAAATGGGGAGTGTCATTGGTGAGTTATAAATGGGGAGTGTCATTGGTGAGTTATAAATGGGGAGTGTCATTGGTGAGTTATAAATGGGGGGTGTCATTGGTGAGTTATAAATGGGGAGTGTCATTGGTGAGTTATAAATGGGGAGTGTCATTGGTGAGTTATAAATGGGGGGTGTCATTGGTGAGTTATAAATGGGGGGTGTCATTGGTGAGTTATAAATGGGAAGTGTCATTGGTGAGTTATAAATGGGGGGTGTCATTGGTGAGTTATAAATGGGGAGTGTCATTGGTGAGTTATAAATGGGGGGTGTCATTGGTGAGTTATAAATGGGGAGTGTCATTGGTGAGTTATAATTGGGGGGTGTCATTGGTGAGTTATAAATGGGGGGTGTCATTGGTGAGTTATAAATGGGGGGTGTCATTGGTGAGTTATAAATGGGGGGTGTCATTGGTGAGTTATAAAATGGGGAGTGTCATTGGTGAGTTATAAATGGGGGGTGTCATTGGTGAGTTATAAATGGGGAGTGTCATTGGTGAGTTATAAATGGGGGGGGGGTGTCATTGGTGAGTTATAAATGGCCGGTGTCATTGGTGAGTTATAAATGGGGAGTGTCATTGGTGAGTTATAAATGGGGGGTGTCATTGGTGAGTTATAAATTGGGGGTGTCATTGGTGAGTTATAAATGGGGAGTGTTATTGGTGAGTTATAAATGGGGGGTGTCATTGGTGAGTTATAAATGGGGAGTGTCATTGGTGAGTAATAACGTTCTAACTATGATGACATCTGACATAACGTTCTAACTGATGACATCTGAAATAACGTTCTAACTTTGATGACATCTGTAATAACGTTCTAAGTTTGATGACATCTGACATAACGTTCTAAGTTTGATGACATCTGTAATAGCGTTCTAATTTTGATGAAATCTGACATAACGTTCTGTTTGATGACATCTGGAATAACGTTCTAAGTTTGATGACATCGGACATAACGTTCTAACTTTGATGCCATCTGTAATAACGTTCTAACTTTGATGACATCTGTAATAACATTCTAAGTTTGATGACATCCGACATAACGTTCTAACTATGATGACATCTGTAATAACGTTCTAAGTTTGATGACATCTGACATAACGTTCTAACTTTGATGACATCTGTCATAATGTTCTAAGTTTGATGACATCTGTAATAACGTTCTAAGTTTAATGACATATGTAATAACGTTCTAACTTTGATGACATCTGTAATAACGTTCTAAGTTTGATGACATCTGACATAACGTTCTAAGTTTGATGACATCTGACATAACGTTCTAAGTTTGATGACATCTGTAATAACGTTCTAAGTTTAATGACATATGTAATAACGTTCTAACTTTGATGACATCTGTAATAACGTTCTAAGTTTGATGACATCTGTAATAACGTTCTAACTTTGATGACATCTGACATAACGTTCTAACTTTGATGACATCTGTAATAACATTCTAAGTTTGATGACATCTGTAATAACGTTCTAACTTTGATGACATCTGTAATAACGTTCTAACTTTGATGACATCTGACATAACGTTCTAAGTATGATGACATCTGTAATAACGTTTTGTCTTTGATGACATGTGTCATAACGTTCTAAGTTTGATGACATCTGTAATAACGTTCTAACTTTGATGACATCTGACATAACGTTCTAACTGATGACATCTGTAATAACGTTCTAACTTTGATGACATCTGTAATAACGTTCTAAGTTTGATGACATCTGACATGACGTTCTTACTTTGATGACATCTGACATGACGTTCTAACTTTGATGACATCTGTAATAACGTTCTAACTTTGATGACATCTGTAATAACGTTCTAAGTTTGATGACATCTGACATAACGTTCTAAGTTTGAATACATCTGTAATAACGTTCTAAGTTTAATGACATATGTAATAACGTTCTAACTTTGATGACATCTGTAATAACGTTCTAACTTTGATGACATCTGTAATAACGTTCTAACTTTGATGACAACTGACATAACGTTCTAACTTTGATGACATCTGTAATAACGTTCTAACTTTGATGACATCTGACATAACGTTCTAAGTATGATGACATCTGTAATAACGTTTTATCTTAGATGACATGTGTCATAACGTTCTAAGTTTGATGACATCTGTAATAACGTTCTAACTTTGATGACATCTGACATAACGTTCTAACTGATGACATCTGTAATAACGTTCTAACTTTGATGACATCTGTAATAACGTTCTAAGTTTGATGACATCGGACATAACGTTCTAACTTTGATGCCATCTGTAATAACGTTCTAACTTTGATGACATCTGTAATAACATTCTAAGTGTGATGACATCTGACATAACGTTCTAACTTTGATGACATCTGTCATAACGTTCTAAGTTTGATGACATCTGTAATAACGTTCTAAGTTTAATGACATATGTAATAACGTTCTAACTTTGATGACATCTGTAATAACATTCTAAGTTTGATGACATCTGTAATAACGTTCTAACTTTGATGACATCTGTAATAACGTTCTAACTTTGATGACATCTGACATAACGTTCTAAGTATGATGACATCTGTAATAACGTTTTATCTTTGATGACATGTGTCATAACGTTCTAAGTTTGATGACATCTGTAATAACGTTCTAACTTTGATGACATCTGACATAACGTTCTAACTGATGACATCTGTAATAACGTTCTAACTTTGATGACATCTGTAATAACGTTCTAAGTTTGATGACATCTGACATGACGTTCTTACTTTGATGACATCTGACATGACGTTCTAACTTTGATGACATCTGTAATAATGTTCTAACTTTGATGACATCTGTAATAACGTTCTAAGTTTGATGACATCTGACATAACGTTCTAACTTTTATGACATCTGACATAAAATTCTAACTTTTATGACATCTGACATAACTTTCTAACTTTGATGACATCTGACATAACCTTCTAACTTTGATCAAATCTGTAATAACGTTCTAACTTTGATGACATCTGTAATAACGTTCTAAGTTTGATGACATCTGACATAACGTTCTAACTTTGACGACATCTGACATAACGTTCTAAGTTTGATGACATCTGAAATAACGTTCTAAGTTTAATGACAACTGTAATAACGTTCTAACTTTGATAACATCTGACATAACGTTCTAACTTTGATGACATCTGACATAACGTTCTAAGTTTGATGACATCTGACATAACGTTCTAAGTTTGATGACATCTGTAATAACGTTCTAAGTTTAATGACATATGTAATAACGTTCTAAGTTTGATGACATCTGTAATAACGTACTAACTTTGACGTCATCTGACATAACGTTCTAACTTTGATGACATCTGACATAACGTTCTAAGTTTGATGACATCTGTAATAACGTTTTATCTTTGATGACATGTGTCATAACGTTCTAAGTTTGATGAAATCTGTAATAAAGTTCTAACTTTGATGACATCTGACATAACTTTCTAACTTTGATGACATCTGTAATAACGTTCTAACTTTGATGACATCTGACATAACGTTCTAAGTATGATGACATCTGTAATAACGTTCTAACTTTGATGCCATCTGTAATAACGTTCTAACTTTGATGACATCTGTAATAACATTCTAAGTGTGATGACATCTGACATAACGTTCTAACTTTGATGACATCTGTAATAACGTTCTAAGTTTAATGACATATGTAATAACGTTCTAACTTTGATGACATCTGTAATAACGTTCTAAGTTTGATGACATCTGACATAACGTTCTAAGTTTGATGACATCTGACATAACGTTCTAAGTTTGAATACATCTGTAATAACGTTCTAAGTTTAATGACATATGTAATAACGTTCTAACTTTGATGACATCTGTAATAACGTTCTAACTTTGATGACATCTGTAATAACGTTCTAACTTTGATGACAACTGACATAACGTTCTAACTTTGATGACATCTGTAATAACGTTCTAACTTTGATGACATCTGACATAACGTTCTAAGTATGATGACATCTGTAATAACGTTTTATCTTAGATGACATGTGTCATAACGTTCTAAGTTTGATGACATCTGTAATAACGTTCTAACTTTGATGACATCTGACATAACGTTCTAACTGATGACATCTGTAATAACGTTCTAACTTTGATGACATCTGTAATAACGTTCTAAGTTTGATGACATCGGACATAACGTTCTAACTTTGATGCCATCTGTAATAACGTTCTAACTTTGATGACATCTGTAATAACATTCTAAGTGTGATGACATCTGACATAACGTTCTAACTTTGATGACATCTGTCATAACGTTCTAAGTTTGATGACATCTGTAATAACGTTCTAAGTTTAATGACATATGTAATAACGTTCTAACTTTGATGACATCTGTAATAACGTTCTAAGTTTGATAACATCTGACATAACGTTCTAAGTTTGATGACATCTGACATAACGTTCTAAGTTTGAATACATCTGTAATAACGTTCTAAGTTTAATGACATATGTAATAACGTTCTAACTTTGATGACATCTGTAATAACGTTCTAACTTTGATGACATCTGACATAACGTTCTAACTTTGATGACATCTGTAATAACGTTCTAACTTTGATGACATCTGACATAACGTTCTAACTTTGATGACATCTGACATAACGTTCTAACTTTGATCACAGCTGTAATAACGTTCTAACTTTGATGACATCTGTAATAACGTTCTAAGTTTGACGACATATGACATAACGTTCTAACTTTGATGACATCTGACATAACGTTCTAAGTTTGATGACATCTGTAATAACGTTCTAAGTTTGATGACATCTGTAATAGTTTGATGACATCTGACATAACGTTCTAACTTTGATGACATCTGTGATAACGTTCTAAGTTTGACGACATCTGTGATAACGTTCTAACTTTGATGACATCTGACATAACGTTCTAACTTTGATGACATCTGTAATAACGTTCTAACTTTGATGACATCTGACATAACGTTCTAAGTATGATGACATCTGTAATAACGTTTTATCTTAGATGACATGTGTCATAACGTTCTAAGTTTGATGACATCTGTAATAACGTTTTATCTTTGATGACATGTGTCATAACGTTCTAAGTTTGATGAAATCTGTAATAACGTTCTAACTTTGATGACATCTGACATAACGTTCTAACTTTGATGACATCTGTAATAACGTTCTAACTTTGATGACATCTGACATAACGTTCTAAGTATGATGACATCTGTAATAACGTTCTAACTTTGATGCCATCTGTAATAACGTTCTAACTTTGATGACATCTGTAATAACATTCTAAGTGTGATGACATCTGACATAACGTTCTAACTTTGATGACATCTGTAATAACGTTCTAAGTTTAATGACATATGTAATAACGTTCTAACTTTGATGACATCTGTAATAACGTTCTAAGTTTGATGACATCTGTAATAACGTTCTAACTTTGATGACATCTGACATAACGTTCTAACTTTGATGACATCTGTAATAACGTTCTAACTTTGATGACATCTGACATAACGTTCTAACTTTGATGACATCTGACATAACGTTCTAACTTTGATCACAGCTGTAATAACGTTCTAACTTTGATGACATCTGTAATAACGTTCTTAGTTTGATGACATCTGTAATAACGTTCTAAGTTTGATGACATCTGTAATACTTTGATGACATCTGACATAACGTTCTAACTTTGATGACATCTGTGATAACGTTCTAAGTTTGATGACATCTGTCATAACGTTCTAAGTTTGATGACATCTGTAATAACGTTCTAAGTTTAATGACATATGTAATAACGTTCTAACTTTGATGACATCTGTAATAACGTTCTAAGTTTGATGACATCTGACATAACGTTCTAACTTTGATGACATCTGACATAACGTTCTAACTTTGATGACATCTGACATAACGTTCTAACTTTGATCACAGCTGTAATAACGTTCTAACTTTGATGACATCTGTAATCACGTTCTTAGTTTGATGACATCTGTAATAACGTTCTAAGTTTGATGACATCTGTAATACTTTGATGACATCTGACATAACGTTCTTACTTTGATGACATCTGTGATAACGTTCTAACTTTGATTACATCTGTAATAACGTTCTAAGTTTGATGACATCTGACATAACGTTCTAAGTTTGATGACATCTGTAATAACGTTTTATCTTTGATGACATGTGTCATATCGTTCTAACTTTGATGACATCTGTAATAAAGTTCTAAGTTTGGTGACATCTGTAATAACGTTCTAAGTTTGATGACATCTGTAATAACGTTCTAAGTTTGATGACATCTGTAATAACGTTCTAAGTTTGATGACATCTATAATAACGTTCTAAGTTAGGTGACATCTGTAATAACGTTCTAACTTTTATGACATCTGACATAACGTTCTAACTTTGATGACATCTGACATAACGTTCTAACTTTGATCACAGCTGTAATAACGTTCTAACTTTGATGACATCTGTAATAACTTTCTAAGTTTGATGACATATGACATAACGTTCTAACTTTGATGACATCTGACATAACGTTCTAAGTTTGATGACATCTGTAATAACGTTCTAAGTTTGATGACATCTGTAATACTTTGATGACATCTGACATAACGTTCTAACTTTGATGACATCTGTGATAACGTTCTAAGTTTGATGACATCTGTAATAACGTTCTAAGTTTGATGACATCTGTAATAACGTTCTAAGTTCGATGACATCTGTAATAACGTTCTAAGTTTAATGACATATGTAATAACGTTCTAAGTTTGATGACATCTGACATAACGTTCTAAGTTTGATGACATCTGTAATAGCGTTCTAATTTTGATGACATCTGACATAACGTTCTAAGTTTGATGACATCTGTAATAGCGTTCTAATTTTGATGACATCTGACATAACGTTCTGTTTGATGACATCTGTAATAACGTTCTAAGTTTGATGACATCGGACATAACGTTCTAACTTTGATGACATCTGTAATAACGTTCTAACTTTGATGACATCTGTAATAACATTCTAAGTTTGATGACTTCTGACATAACGTTCTAACTTTGATGACATCTGTAATAACATTCTAAGTTTGATGACATCAGACATAACGTTCTAACTTTGATGACATCTGTAATCACGTTCTAACTTTGATGACATCTGTAATAACATTCTAAGTTTGATGACTTCTGACATAACGTTCTAAGTTTGATGACATCTGTAATAACATTCTAAGTTTGATGACTTCTGACATAACGTTCTAACTTTGATGACATCTGTAATAACGTTCTAACTTTGATGACATCTGTAATAACATTCTAAGTTTGATGACTTCTGACATAACGTTCTAACTTTGATGACATCTGTAATAACATTCTAAGTTTGATGACATCTGACATAACGTTCTAACTTTGATGACATCTGTAATAACGTTCTAAGTTTGATGACATCTGACATAACGTTCTAAGTTTGATGACATCTGTAATAGCGTTCTAATTTTGACGACATCTGATATAACGTTCTGTTTGATGACATCTGTAATTACGTTCTAAGTTTGATGACTTCGGACATAACGTTCTAACTTTGATGACATCTGACATAACGTTCTAACTTTGATGACATCTGTAATAACGTTCTAACTTTGATGACATCTGTAATAACATTCTAAGTTTGATGACATCTGACATAACGTTCTAACTTTGACGACATCTGTAATAACGTTCTAAGTTTGATGACATCTGACATAACGTTCTAAGTTTGATGACATCTGCCACAGGCCGTGTGAGTGGTGACGACGATGACTCGCCCTACCAGAGCAACGACAAGTTCACGTTTGGAGGGGGCGGGGACAAGATGGCCGTCATGTCCAACGGCAATGTCGTGCTGACCCAGCCGTGCATCGACGGGGAGTACTCGTCAGGTGAGGGGTAGAGGGGGAGTAGACAGGTAGGTGGGGTAGTACTTGTCAGGTAGGTGGTGGGAGTAGACAGGTAGGTGGGGGTGGGGGAGGTAGACAGGTAGGTGGGGGAGTACTTGTCAGGTAAGTGTGTGTATGTGGGGGGGGGGTAATCGTCAGAGAGGTGTGGGGGGGGGGTAGAGAGGTAGGTGGGGAGAGTAGACAGGTAGGTGGGGGAGTGCTCGTCAGGTAGATGGGGGGGAGTAGATAGGTAGGTGGGGCAGTATTCGCGAGGTAGGTAGGGGGGGGAGTTAAGTGTTTTACAACGTTTATATGCTTAAAACTAAAAAAAAATGTGTTCGTTTAAATCAAAATAAATTCCTTGATGAAGTTTAAACTGCTGGTATTGTTTACAGGTACAGCCACTATTGTCGACCAAGGGGAATACCCGGGGCCGCTGTCGGGGATACCTGCCACCATAACCATGACATGTGGGGTAGGTTTGTCTGTCATATGACATGTGGGGTAGGTTTGTCTGTCATATGACATGTGGGGTAGGTTTGTCTGTCATATGACATGTGGGGTAGGTTTTTCTGTCATATGACATGTGGGGTAGGTTTGTCATATGACATGTGGGGTAGGTTTTTCTGTCATATGACATGTGGGGTAGGTTCGTCATATGACATGTGGGGTAGGTTCGTCTGTCATATGACATGTGGGATAGGTTCGTCTATCATGACATGTGGGGTAGGTTTGTCTGTCATGACATGTAGGGTAGGTTCGCCTATCATATGACATGTGGGGTAGGTTTGTCATATGACATGTAGGGTAGGTTTGTCATATGACATGTAGGGTAGGTTTGTCATATGACATGTGGGATAGGTTCGTCTGTCATGACATGTGGGGTAGGTTCGCCTATCATATGACATGTGGGGTAGGTTTGTCTGTCATATGACATGTGGGGTAGGTTTGTCATATGACATGTGGGGTAGGTTTGTCATATGACATGTAGGGTAGGTTTGTCATATGACATGTGGGATAGGTTTGTCTGTCATCTGACGTGTGAGGTAAATTTGCCTGTCTTATGCCAATTTATACTTTTACTTCATCGAGCTAGTCAATTTTAATTAGTGTTTTTTTTAAAAATATCTTTTTAAATTGAAACTTTGGGGTGGGGGCTATATAAATTATATTTTAATAAAATATTTCTTTGAGTTTCGCGCCTCCCCCCCCCCCCTCCGATGGATGTCTGAAAGAAACTCTGCTTTTGAATATTTTAATGTCCATTGTTTTAAATCTAGGGATCAACACATCATTTTTGTTCGCTTCTCCAACCACTTTAGAGGCTATGGTCACATGACAAAATAAATTGTCCAACAAAAACTGTTCATTTAGCCAGCTCTACAATCCGACCTCCCTACACCGTCTGTACTTTTTCCCCACCCACAGCCCTGCCCGCCAACCACGCCAGCACCTACGCCAGCGCCAGTCGTCACCACCAAAGCACCCACCACGGCAGCACCAATCACCACCACCAAGAAGGCTACATCGACCTCTAGCAGCAGTGACCGTATCGCTGACCTCATGGCGTGGGTCATCCCAGCCGCCATTGGTGGGCTGATCTGGCTGGCCCTGACGGCCTACTTCATCTACCGCTATTGCTTCCCTTGCCGGAATCCATGCGCGGGACGATGCGCGCGCAAGTGGGTTTGGTTTTAATTTTAACGCATTGGAAATTTATAGTTTGTCAGATGATGGTTTACAAATTTTGAAGTTTGTCTTTGAGGCGATGTGTCGCAACACGCATTGTTACAAAGATAATTCAACACATCATTCTATACATCATTCTACACATTATTCTATACATCATTCTACACATTATTCTATACATCATTCTGCGCAATATTCATGACAATTGCCATTTTATAGAAGTTTTTAAAATTCTCTTATCGTTTCAACTTAATGTAATTTATTCTATAGTTGTATTACTTTCTTTTTGTTCAATTATGATCAATTTATTGTAATTTATTCTATTTTGGGGCTGTATACTTTAAGATATTTAAAGAAATTCATTTTTGTAGAAATCTCTTCAACTTTATGTAGATCTATGAGTTTATATTTTCTTTGCTACACTCTTCTCTAATTTCTATCTAAATTATTTATGATTTTTTTCCTGTATTCTATGTTTGTTCTGAAATGTTCTATTTTGTTCTATCTTTGTTCTAAATTGTTCTATTTTGTTCTATCTTTGTTCTTAATTGTTCTATCTTTGTTCTATCTTTGTTCTATTTTGTTCTATCTTTATTCTAAAATGTTCTATTTTGTTCTATCTTTGTTCTAAATTGTTCTATTTTGTTCTATGTTTGTTCTAAATTGTTCTATCTTTGTTCTAAATTGTTCTATCTTTGTTCTAAATTGTTCTATCTTTGTTCTAAATTGTTCTATCTTTGTTCTAAATTGTTCTATTATGTTCTATCTATGTTCTAAATTGTTCTATTTTGTTCTATCTTTGTTCTAAATTGTTCTATTTTGTTCTATGTTTGTTCTAAATTGTTCTATTTTGTTCTATGTTTGTTCTAAATTGTTCTATCTTTGTTCTAAATTGTTCTATCTTTGTTCTAAATTGTTCTATCTTTGTTCTAAATTGTTCTATCTTTGTTCTAAATTGTTCTATTTTGTTCTATGTTTGTTCAAAATTGTTCTATCTTTGTTCTAAATTGTTCTATCTTTGTTCTAAATTGTTCTATCTTTGTTCTAAATTGTTCTATCTTTGTTCTAAATTGTTCTATTTTGTTCTATCTTTGTTCTAAATTGTTCTATTTTGTTCTATCTTTGTTCTAAATTGTTCTATTTTGTTCTATCTTTGTTCTAAATTTTTCTATTTTGTTCTATGTTTGTTCTAAATTGTTCTATCTTTGTTCTAAATTGTTCTATCTTTGTTCTAAATTGTTCTATCTTTGTTCTAAATTGTTCTATCTTTGTTCTAAATTGTTCTATTTTGTTCTATGTTTGTTCTAAATTGTTCTATTTTGTTCTATCTTTGTTCTAAATTGTTCTATTTTTTTCTATGTTTGTTCTAAATTGTTCTATCTTTGTTCTAAATTGTTCTATCTTTGTTCTAAATTGTTCTATCTTTGTTCTAAATTGTTCTATCTTTGTTCTAAATTGTTCTATTTTGTTCTATCTTTGCTCTAAACTGTTCTATCTTTGTTCTAAATTGTTCTATTTTGTTCTATCTTTGTTCTAAATTGTTCTATTTTGTTCTATCTTTGTTCTAAATTGTTCTATTTTGTTCTATCTTTGTTCTAAATTGTTCTATTTTGTGCTATCTTTGTTCTAAATTGTTCTATTTTGTTCTATCTTTGTTCTAAATTGTTCTATTTTGTGCTATCTTTGTTCTATTTCCCCAGGCCAAAGGTCCCCAAACTAAAGCCCAAGCCTGAACCAAAACCACCGAAACCCCAGAAGCCGAAGCAGGTGGCGCCACCACCTCCACCCCCGCCACCTAAAGTTGTAACCCCTCCTCCCCCGCCACCACCCCCTGAACCAAAGTAAGTACACGATTAGAGTTAAAACTTAAGAACCAAAGCAACCATGAAATGCAAGGAAAACAAAATCTAGAAACAATAAGTTTAGTGTTAGAAGACGAAATGGGGCTTCATGAGTCAGGTGGTGATGTCCATAAATCATAGCGCCCAGTTAAATGAGAAGGGGTATCATACGATGTGACACCCATGGGTAAGGGATTTTTAAAAAAATTGGTTGGGGTAAGAATGGCACGTTGCATATATTTTTATTTCTTTAAAAAGAAACAACCACTGTGCCATTGTAGTATTCGGGTGTTTTTTTTTTATTCTGTGTGACGATAGAGGAGTGGAGGAATTTTTTTTACTTAAACTACGTGACGTCATTTAGAAACAAGCATTGAGTTCAAGTTTTAGTCATCTAAAAAATGTAGCTTCCATTTCCAAGGGAAACTCCTTGTCTTACTGACATTTACTTTGAGGAAACGACGACACATACTGAACACATACAGCACAAACATCAGGGGACACAATCAGGAAAATAAGACGTTATGTTTACTGACAGTTCACCTGCAACAAATCTTTTTTTTTTCATTTCAGACCCGACCCATATTTGTTTGGCTTCTGGAAAGAACGTAAGCATTGTTTCTTTCGGACATTTGTCTCCGGGGGTTGGTGTGTGTGTGTGTGTGGGGGGTACTTGTAAATTTTGGGAGGGGGGTATCAGAGATTAAAAGAGGGAGAGAAACTTAAGAAATTTTAATTTCCAAACTAATAAAAAAAAAAAAAAAAAAAAAAAAAAATCATAAAATTAACTTTATATTCCTCAGAATTATTTAAAAAAAAAAAAAAAAAAAAAAAAAAAAAAAAAAAAAAAAAAAAAAAAAAAAAAAAAAAAAACTAAAATTCTCAAAATGTACAAAATTCCCAAACTGTTCAAACCATTTTTGTCTAGAATACACGGACCAAGACCACCAGACCCAGCAGCCCGTGCGGGCCTCCAAGCCTCAGCCAATCGAGAACATGCCCCCAGCTGAAGTGGTACCCAGGGGCAACGCCGTACCCCCGGAGTACTTGAAACTCGGCAATCCGGGCCCAGGACAGATGAACCCCCCAGCGGCGCCCGCAAAACCCCCCGTTGTAGCCCAGGCGGCTCCCAAAAACAAAACCTGCATCATCTTGTAAAAAGTTTCCGGCTTGTTAAATAATTTAAAAAATGGAGTTGTTGAACATGAGGATTACCTCCCTTACCCTACCAAATGCTAAGTGAAGAAAATGTCGCTCGTTAAAATTGTAATTATTTTGTTTTATATATTTAAACACTTTTACTATTTTTATACATATTGATATACATACATCTAATCTACGTAAAATTTCAACATAATGTTTAGTTGTTGTTTTTTTAAATAAGGTATATAAATATCGATATTTCACGAGGAAAAATGTCTCTTAAAAATACATTTAAATAAATACAAGTATATATATATATATATATATATATATATATATATATATATATATATATATATATATATATATATATATATATATATATATATATATATATATATATATATAATGTATCTGGGCTTATATATGTAACTATACATATACATACTTATTTGTCGCTGCCAATGTTGTTAGCTTTTAAGCATTTTAATTTTAGCTCTAATATTTAGACAATTTTTTTTGTAAAATTTATTAATGTATCATGTCAGGTGTTATTCACCTATTTAATTTAAGTTCGCTCTACATCTTGGCGTTGACGACTGACAGTATCAAACTAGAATCTAGAACCAGTGCCTTAGTCTGCTTTTATAAATTTTAAAAATAAAAAACTGTTTTTGTAAAATAAATTTGTTTTCACACACGGAAGAAATCTGACTACCACCACGTGATTTCTATTTTTAACTATCCACGTCACCAAGATTTTAGTTTGTCTTTCCGTGTGACGCTAGCCTGTTCATGTTAACTCGTTAAATATTTTGACATTGTTAACTTTTCAAAAATTCAATCTCCTTAAAGTTTAACCGTGTAGAAATAAAAATTTTGTAAGTAAACCGACAAAGAGAAATTAAATGCTCTGCACTATCGATTATGTAAATCGATCTTTTAATTCGTGTTGTATATGCCGTTTGTTGTATGACAGGTGACCGTGTTGGGTCTGTCATCTTTTGTATGACGGGTGAATCCTGAAAAGTTTTGTCAGCTGAATCAAAAGTCACTGACAAAAATCGATGATCAATATTGAACTCGTGTTTTCGTAATGCCCTTATAGAACATACCATTGAACATTTACAGGTTATAATGTATGCCTACGGTTGGGTTAAAAAAAATACGCATTTTCGAGTACACAGAAAACCGGTCAATTTATGAAACCCTCCCCTCAATAGGAAGTGTATGTGTGTGTGTGTGAACGTGTCGATCCAAGGGCCTCATCAGTAAAACACCGAGTTAATTTAATATTAGATTACAACATAGTAGGCTAAACGGTGACTGCAGTTTTGACTTAGCACTGTACATGTCTAAGGCCACTATATTCTTGAGGGTGTGGTGGGGGGGGGGGGATAAGAATGTGAAAACAATGACTACAAACGTGTCGACCCAAGGGCCTCATCAGTAAAATACAGAGTTAATTTAATATTAGATTACAACATAGTAGGCTAAACGGTGACTGCAGTTTTGACTTAGCACTGTACATTAAAGCACGTCGTGTCTAGGGCCACTAAATTCTTGAGGGGGGGGATAGGAGGAGGTAAATATATGACTTATGAGTCCAGCCCATGGGGCCTCGGTGTTCGAGTGCAGAACCATGAAATTAAAATGAGTCACTGGAAATAAGATGAGCCATAATAAGGGATGAGCCGCGGGTTTTATGTTTAGATGGGGGTTTAAGTAGCTAACAATGGCGGACAGCGGTCGCTCAAGTTACCATCAACACTGTCAGTGGTACATGCTAATGTTAACAACATGAAAACTGTGATATAAGGTTAAATGATTTTTTTAATCCAAATATACACCTAGATCTAGTGAAAGAAGTATGTATGGCTGTTACAATATATTTTGATCGAATAGTATTAGTACGATCGTTATTTTAAAAGAACCACATTTTTCTGTAATAAATAATTTGTAATCACATATTTAGAACATTTTTTTAAAACGTGTTTTAAAGGTCGTTAGGGGGTTGTCCATAACTGGCGTTTAGCACGCCCGGGGGTGGGGTATCAGACTTTTGTGGCTGTGACGTGACGATAGCGAGGTCAAGGAGTGTGAAGAGAGTAAATTTTTTATTTGTGCAGAAGAAATTAGGAGAAAACCCGGTTAAATTGTGTTAGAATTATTATCATGGAGAGGGGGAGGAACATGGTCCTTTTCGGGAGGGGGGTGGGGGGAGGTCTTGCTTTTGGTGAAGGTGTGGTGTTTGTGGGGTAAAAATAGGCTGATACGTCATTTAAGGACGACCCCTTTATTTATGTACTTAAGTTTTTCCTTTAAAAAATTCCATGGTATCGTGTAAAGAACTATAACACCAAAATATTTTTAATTTTGACACGAAAACATGCTTTTCCTTTGTTACTGCGTTTTGAATTTTTTTTTAAATCCTAAAAAAATGTTTTTTTTGTTTTTTTGTGATCGTTTGAAATGTTTATGCCAAAATATTGACCTAAAGAAACATGAAAACATGCTTTAATTTGTTAGTACATTTAATTAATTTAAAAAAATGTTAATTAAACTTTTGTTATCATAATTTTTTTTTACACCAAAAGTTTAATAATGAAAATAAAAACACATTGAATCTTTTGTAACTGATTTATTCTACACAATAGTGTATTTTCTTAGGCTAATTCCATGTTGTCGATAAGTTACTTAATAAAGTGGTACGATTATATAATGTAATCTAGTGGTACGGTTATATAAGTTACTTAACATAATTGTACGGCTATATAAGTTAATATTGTGGTAAGGTTATATAAGTTACTTAATATAGTGGTAGGGCTATATCAATAACTTAATATAGTGGTACGGCTATATAAAGTTACTTAATATAGCAGTACAGTTATATTTTCTTCCGAGTCGCGTGACATCAAATTAGCAGCGATCTCATGCTTATAATGTGTCACATCTACTTCAAGACTGAAGTGTCCGTTATGAAAATCGCAAATCACCGATTTAAAGCATCACAAACCCTTTTATCGCCCCTGCCGTTTAGAGGCTAGCCAGATTTAAAAATTAGAAAATTAAAATACGTTTTCTCCAGTTGAACGCGCCTTAAAGTTCGAGACAGTTATATCTAATTATCTTTTCAATTTTTTTCTAAAGCCATTTCAATATAATTACGTCAACTTTTTGACTTTCGATACCGATTTATCGATCTTCCAGCGATTGATCTACCAGCGATTGATTCAGGCAAAAGACCTATAGACGCCCGTATAGGGGACGGCTAAGCCAAGAGATAAGGAAAAAGTTTTTAAAAGAGACTTTCAGTCCAGTGCTAGGTAGATTAAAGAAACAGACGATACGATCACACCGCTGACGTGATCCGTGGTCTAGCGTGGTCATTTGTTGGACGTGATCTTGACAGGCAGTATGTGAATTTCTGAAGGTTGTGGATTCTTCTAGGTATGGGAGTGTTTAAAATTTCAGAGTTTGCACAGTAGGAAAGTATTTAATAGAACTTAAAACTTAGAAAAATTGTTGGAAAAATACACATGACAGTTGTAATGGAGTCTGTGATTTAAAAATCGCTAATTTGAAGCGGTGGTTATTCCACCTTAATGTGCTATTTCTCATCTTCTGTTTCTAGATTTATCGACTATTTGTTGTAGTTGAAGAAGAGTTTGCATAGCTATAAAATCACCATAAGAAGAAAAAGAATCACCACTAAGGAATACATAGAAATACCAATAATGAAGATTTAGAATCACTATTAGGGAAGAAGTAGAAACACCATTAAAGAAGATAAGGAATCATCTTGAAGTCACCTTAAATAAACATATGGAATCATCGATAAGATATATATTAAATCACAAATAAGTTAGACATGGAATTAGTGATAAGATACTAAAAATATAATATATCGATTGAGTTAGGTAGAGGAAATTTCATATGCACGAACCTATACGGAGGATTCTATTTACTGTTGCGTGAGTTCCGGTAACCGGATAGGGTACGAGAAAGAATATACGGAAAAGTTTAGGGTGGATCGACCCCGCTTTAATTAAAATACACACACACACATATATATATATATATCCATATATACTTACACACACATATATATATATACTTACACACACACACACACATATATATATATATATATATATATATATATATATATATATATATATATATAATATTATATATATATATATATATATATATATATATATATATGTAGATATGTAGATATATATATATATAAATATATGTATATATATATGAATATATGTATATATATATGTATGTATATATATATCTATATGTATATATATGTATATATATGTATGTATATATATGTATATGTATATATGCATATATATACTCAACGATATATATGTATGTGTGTGTGTGTATGTGTCAAGTAACGACATATTTTCCTAACTCTCTTCCCTAAAAAACAAGGTGAGGACGAAGACAATGAAGACGTTGATTATGTTGATTGTTGTTGGTGTCTGCTGTCACGTTTCACAGCAGTCGGTGAGTACAGAATTAGGTTAAGTCGAATGTAAACACATTCTCAATTTTTTTTGTCGACTAACTCCAAAACCCTTAAGTGAATGCAACAAAAACAAACAAACAAACATTCAATACCCGGGGCCTCCTGCCAACATATATGAATGACGTAGCCACACCCCCTCCTCAAACCAACACACCCCCGGCGCCAGTCTTCACCATCCCCCCCCCCCCTCTCCCCAGACTAACACACCCCCGGCGCCAGTCCTCACCATGCTCAACCCTCTCCCCAGACCAACACACCCCCGGGGCCTGTCCTGATCGTGCCCCACCCTCTCCCCAGACCAACACACCCCCGGCGCCAGTCCTCACACACCCCCCCCTCTCCCCAGACCAACACACCCCCGGGGCCTGTCCTCACCATGCCCCACCCTCTCCCCAGACCAACACACCCCCGGCGCCAGTCCTCACCATGCCCCACCCTCTCCCCAGACCAACACACCCCCGGCGCCAGTCCTCACCATGCTCAACCTCAACGTGGAGCTCAACGAGAAGGAGAAACGACAGTACGACCTTAACCTTGGCCAGCCGATCCTGACATGCGCAGACGCCGACCAGGACCAGACGAGGGCGTACATCCAGTCTGTGACCCCCAGCTCCCCCTGCGGCGCCAAGTGCTTCCAGCTCCAGCCCTGTGGGACCAATGAGTCAGGTAATCACGTGAGTAGTACAGTTAATCACGTGACCATTACAGGTAAACACATGACTAGCAATGCTCCCTCTATAGGGGAAAAGCCAGTGTGCAACGTGTATTTTGTGTACGCAGTTTTCTAAAAATCTTATACAAGGGTATATTTATTTTACAAAATCACTGCGCGGCAGCTCAAAACTACTGCGCGGCCGCGCAACCGCGCAGCTTAGAGGGAAATTTGGTGACTAGTAGAGGTAACCACGTGACTGATACGTGTAGCCACTTGTTAGAAACAGAATATTGCCTGTTTCCATTGACAGAATATTGCCTGATTCTATTGACAGAATATTGCCTGTTTAGAATATTGCCAGTTTCTATTGAAAGAACATTGCTTGTTTCCATTAACAGAATATTATCCGTTTCTATAGATTTGCCTGTTTCTATCAACAGAATATTGCCTGTTTCTATCAACAGAATATTGCCTGTTTCTATCGACAGAATATTGCCTGTTTCTATCGACAGAATATTGCCTGTTTCTATCGACAGAATATTGCCTGTTTTTCCTGCCCACCGAGGGCTCGCTCATCTACGCCGTGGCCTCAGGCTACTCGCTCAAAGTCGCGTGCACGGATGACCTTGAACCTGTGTCCACCAGCTCAATGACAGTGACCATCAAGTCCAACTCACCCCCCTACTTCGACCCTCCCTCACCTATAGGTAAGTCACCCATCTCTCCCCTCTATTGATAATTCAGTCTTCTCTCTCCCTCTCCATTAAGTTAACTCAACTCACCTCCACCCATAGGGCTGGTAAGTAGGTCACCAACCAGTTCCACGGCTCAATAAAAACCTGTATGAGCCATAGAACTGGTTGGTGACCTACTTACCAGCCCTATAACGACAATTTACTAAATTTATTTAAGTAATTAAATTTTATTAAAAAAATGTGTTTTCCTTTGTTGCGATTATTCCCCTGGTCTATTATCTCCCCTTTAGAGTACATCCCAATAAAAGGGGACGCCACTCCGGCAGACACGGTTGTTTATGACGCCAACGCTATTGATGACGACGGTGATCCGGTCCGCTACACCATCGCAACCTTGCCGGGCACGAATCTGTTGGATATTGGGAAAAGTGAGTCTTAGGATCTGTATGTGATCTGTGTGGGATCTATGTGGGATCTGTGTGGGACCTGTGTGTGATATGTGTGGGACCTGTGTGTGATATGTGTGGGACCTGTGTAGGGTTTTTGTATGATCTGTGTCGGACCTTGGTAGAGTTTTATTGTGGCCCATGTACGGTCTTCTTGTGTCCTTGTTGGGATCTGATGAGCAGATCTTGTTAGTCTAAGGATCTTAGTATGAGGTCAGATTTGATTATTTGTATGCTTGCTATCTTTCAAACACAGGTTTTTAAAATATTTACAGGATCTAGTTATAGCATGTTTATGAAATTATGATCAGTGTTTCTTTCAGACATTGTTCTCGGGAGAGAGGGTCGTGAAACGTTCAACAATTGTTGAAGTATATACTTTGTCTATGAAATCTATTTCGTTCGGGGTGGGCAGAGTTTCTTCCAGGCATCTCTTCGGAGGGGGGGTGCTCTACCGCCCCCTCCCCCCGAACGAAATGGAATTTATATAGAAAATATATACTTTTAACAGTGTCCGACCCCCCCCCCCCCCCCCCCCGAAAATTTTAGTCCGCCCACCCCCCGAAAATTTTAAATGCCCCCCCCCCCCCCGGAGAAAAAAGCCTGGAAGAAACACAGGGGTGGGGGTGGGGGTAAGGGGCGCGGGCGGTAGACGTACTTTGGGAGGGGGGGGGGGGGTGCCCCTCTGAAGAGGTGCCTGAAAGAAACTCTGATTATAAATCCCGTGTGTTCTCCCAACTGTGTGTAGTCTGCTCTGTCTGCAGCTAGCGGCAAGGTTTACGCCATGAACGACCTCAAGTTCCTGTGTCAGGACAAGGTCACGGCCACCATCCGGGCAACAGACGACATCAACACCAAGATGGCCACCAAGACTGTAGAGTTCACACTCAGCCGTAGGTCACTCAAACACTCGACCGTAGGTCATTCACACACTAGGCCCCCCCCACACACTCATTGTCACACTAGGTCCCTGTCACACTTTACCGTAGGTCCCTGTCACACTTTACCGTAGGTCCCTGTCACACTCCACCGTAGGTCCCTGTCACACTACACCGTAGGTCCCTGTCACACTTTACCGTAGGTCCCTGTCACACTCCACCGTAGGTCCCTGTCACACTACACCGTAGGTCCCTGTCACACTCAACCGAGGTCCCTCACACACTCAACAGTGGGTCCCTATCACACTCCACCTTAGGTCCTGCTTTCATATGTTCACACACATACAACCAACCTCCTCCACATTTCAGCCTACAACCCTCCACATTTTAGCCTACAACCCTCTCCACATTTCAGCCTACAACCAACCCCCTCCACATTTCAGCCTACAACCCCCTCCACATTTCAGCCTACAACCAACTCCCTCCACATTTCAGCCTACAACCAACCCCCTTCATATTTCAGCCTACAACCCTCCACATTTCAGCCTACAACCCTCCACATTTCAGCCTACAACCAACCCCCTTCATATTTCAGCCTACAACCCTCCACATTTCAGCCTACAACCAACCCCCTTCATATTTCAGCCTACAACCCCCTCCACATTTCAGCCTACAACCCCCTCCACATTTCAGCCTACAACCCTCCACATTTCAGCCTACAACCCTCCACATTTCAGCCCACAACCCTCTACATTTCAGCCCACAACCAACCCCTCCACATTTCAGCCTACAACCAACCCCTCCACATTTCAGCCTACAACCCTCCACATTTCAGCCTATAACCCTCCACATATCAGCCTACAACCCCCTCCACATTTCAGCCTACAACCAACCCCCTCTACATTTCAGCCTACAACCCTCCACATTTCAGCCTACAACCCTCCACATTTCAGCCTACAACCCTCCACATTTCAGCCTACAACCCCCTCCACATTTCAGCCTATAACCCTCCACATATCAGCCTACAACCCCCTCCACATTTCAGCCTACTACCAACCCCCTCTACATTTCAGCCTACAACCAACCCCCTCTGATCAGCAACCTAGACAGCATCAAGGACACCCTTGTTGAGGTCAAGGAAAACCAACCCGCGGGGACAACGGTGTTGGCACTGACTCTGGTCAATGACGGCATTGGCACCGTCAGGTACAAGGTCACCTCGGTGCCGGACTTTGGCCTGGAGCTGTACGAGGTCAAGAGTGAGTACCTGGTGCCAATAAGTTTAATTTCTTCAGAATCACCGAGTTGGGTATTGGGGGATTATGACGAGCGAGCAGAGTCTATGGGTTACCTTTGTTTCTTTATATCTTACTGTGTAGACATTTATTTGGGCTGGTGGAGTATTATTAGGCACATCTTGCAAATTCAATAAATAATAATTCAATTTTTTTAACTCCATTTTCGGAAATTAATAATCTATTTTATAGTTTACCGTTTTACGATAAGTCTAAATGAATAATGACATTGAGAAAATACACCATACGTCATGCATCAATTTTATTTTTTTCCCCCATTGTTCTCATTATACTAACATTTTCAGAAAATAAATTTTAAAAAAAAAAACCGCTTAACAAAAGTAATCTTCCAACTCAACCTTTTGGTTAAAAATTAATAAAACAGTTGAAAAATACTTGATATTTCAACATCATTTTAAAATATTTGAACTCGTTTTTCTCAAAACTAAAAAAATGAAGTAGGCCCTACTTTTCCAACTGAACTCTTCTAGTATACCCAACACCCCAGTGTTTCTTTCAGACATTTGTTCCGTGTGGGGGGAGGGGGTATACTTGAAACTTTGGGAAGGGGGGGGGGGGGCGTGTTCTTAAATTTCCAAAAGGGGGATACTAGTCAAAGTATGGGCGATAGACTTACTTCGTGGGGCGCGCGGGTCACTGCCTCGGGGGGGGGGGGGGCGGACTTAAATTTCCAGGGGGGGGGGGGGGGGGATACTGGTCAAAGTATATATTTAAAAAAAAATTCTATTTCATACAAGGGGTGATAGACGGTTTTCGCAGGGAGGTGAGAGGGGGGTACTGCCCCTGAAAAGATGCCTGAAAGAAGCTCTGACCACAATAATCCCCCCCCCCCCCCCCCCGTACTTGCAGACGGCGCCGTGGTGACGAAGGAGATCCTCAACTACGAGCGCACGGACACCCAGCAGAGCGTGAAGCTCTACATCGAGGCCACCGACGGCTACTGCACCTCCCCCACCTACTCCATGACCGTCAACATCGTGGACGACAACGACCCCCCGGTCATCCAGCCGCTCAAGATGACCCACATCGACGTGTACGAGGAGAGTGTGAGTGACAGATGTCATGGTGACGTAACAGTGACATGACAGTGAGGTGACGTGACAGTGACGTGATAATGACATGACAATGACGTGTCAGTGACATAATAGTGACACGATAGTGACATATAAGTGACGTTTGTGGCCTAAACGAATTTTTGTGACAGCAGGAGGTCGGACGGTAGAGCGGATGGCTGCTAACCCGGAAGTCTCGAGTTCGAATTCGAGACTCTGATCCGTATATTCCCTGAGTCCACCCAGCTCTGTTGCGTACCTGACTCAAGCCATGGAAAGTAAAATCGGCTAGGCATATTGCTGACCACACTTTCCCTTTATAAGCCGAGGTCACTGAAACAGATGAACTCTACTTCACTTGTGCTAAGTGACGAAGAGCGAAAAAGAAAATAATTTCTTTTTAAGTAAAATTTGTGACTTGTGACATGTTGAGGGGAGAAGGGGGGAAGGGTAAGACAGTTACCTGCCTACGTCACGGTTCTAAGCCTTAAATGGTCAGTGAGTAACTTTAGAGCTTCTTTAGTCTAGACACACTCGGATCTGGTGAAAAAAACTGCACGTTGTGATTACCTCAGCTTAATCCTCACATCCCCTCCCTCCGCAAGTGAGAACCACCTTAATCTCCCCATGATAATCTCCTTATGTAACTCCTCACCGGACCCCCAGTAAGAACCTCACATAACTCACGTACCCCCAGTAAGAACCTCACACAACTCACCCCCACACAATTCAGTTTGTCATCACCCCCGGGTTCCTGGTCACCGACGAAGACGAGAACGAAGTCCTCAAGTACTCGCTGACCGGAAGTGCCAAGTTCACCACGGAACCAGACGTTGGTGACATCATCTCGGCCTCAGCGATTGACGTCGATCCTGTAAGTTCAACGGTCATTAAACAAAGCTTTCTGAGAACATCAGAGGCGTAGCGATGGGGGGGGGGGGGCAGGGGGAGGACGACATATGTCCCCGGGCGCCGACCTTAGGGTTGTAAAAACAAATTAAAATGTTAATTTAGCTGTCATTTTTGCAGTTTGAGAGACTGGGGGGGGGGGGGGTGCAAATCGAAAAGTTGAGGGGGGGGGGGGGGGGGGCTGCAAATCGAAAAGTTGAGGCGGGGGGTTCAAATTGAAAATTTGCTCCCGAGGGGGGCGCCAAATTGAAGGTTTGTCCCCGGGCGCCGGGAAGGGTCGCTACGCCTCTGGAGAACATTTTTAGCACGGTCGATCAATGTAAAATATAACCTGTATAACTCGGAGTACAACCGTCATTACACAATGCTTTCCGAGAACCTTTTTAGCGCGATCGATGTCAAATATAACCAGTGCCGGCGCCAGGTTATTTAGCGCCCTATGCAAAACTTATTAAAAGCGCCCCCCCCCCGCAATTTTTTTCGTGCCCCCGTATTATCAGAGGCGTAGCGACCCTTCCCGGCGCCAGGGGACAAACTTTTGATTTGCACCCCCCCCCCTTCCTCAAACTCTCGATTTGCACCCCCCTCAAACTTTCGATTTGTTTTTGCAACCCATTTTGGCGCCCCCCTACGGACAGCGCTTATATGTAGCGCCGGCCCTGAATATAACCTGTACAACTGGGAGTTTAACAGTCATTAAAGAATTCTCTCCTAAAACATTTTTAGCTTGATCAATTAAAAATATATAGGGCCGGCGTGGTCGAGTCGGTAAAGCTCATGGTTGCTAAACCGAAAAGACTCGAGTTCGAACCCTCGGGCAGATGAGGCTCGTTAGCTGGGGACAGCCATTCTTCTAGGATAGACAACTCCAAAATTAAACAACTGCTGCCTTGTAGTTTGTTCTTGGTTGGACAAAGGCTATGGAAAAAAGAAAAGCAGGCTGAAATCGGAGTCAATGGCCTCAATGGCGCAAAACCAGTTGACACGTAACGCTTAATTGTGTTGGAGGCGTGGTCGAGTCGGCAAAAAGCTGATGTTTGATAAATTCGAACAAAGTCTCGATTTCAAACCCACTGGCAGATAAATCTCGATCCCCTTCAACACTAATAATTAAGAACGAAGAAGAAGAAGAAGACGTGTAGCAACTGATCAACTTTACTTACTTTTAGGACAGTTTATTATGAAATGTACCAACTTCAGTTTACTGTTCGAACTGATATTTCCAGGTTAACCTATTTCCGATAGCATTATTTTATTTCCATTTTTCAGTCGGACAATAATAGTTTCTATTATTCCTGCAGGGTAAGGAGTTCCAGCCATTTCCCCTGACCTACATTGTGACCGACTCCCGGGGCAAGAGTACCACCGCCACGGTGACCGTTAATGTGTATGACGTCAACGACAACGCGCCCGTCTTCGCCCAGACCCAGTACACTCTGGCAGTCACAGAATGCACGGAAGTCGGCACCTCTATTGGTGAGTACATCATGCCTGCATGTCTATAGGTGAGTACATCATGCTAGCATGTCTATAGGTGAGTGCATCATGCTAGCATGTCTATAGGTGAGTGCATCATGCTAGCATGTCTATAGGTGAGTACATCATGCTAGCATGTCTATAGGTGAGTACATCATGCTAGCATGTCTATAGGTGAGTACATCGTGCCTGCATGTCTATAGGTGAGTACATCATGCTAGCATGTCTATAGGTGAGTACATCATGCTAGCATGTCTATAGGTGAGTACATCATGCTAGCATGTCTATAGGTGAGTACATCGTGCCTGCATGTCTATAGGTGAGTACATCATGCCTGCATGTCTATATGTGAGTACTTCATGCATGCATGTCTATAGGTGAGTACATCATGCCTGCATGTCTATAGGTGAGTACATCATGCTAGCATGTCTATAGGTGAGTACATCGTGCCTGCATGTCTATAGGTGAGTACTTCATGCATGCATGTCTATAGGTGAGTACATCATGCTAGTAGGTCATTTGGTGAGTACATCATGCATGCATGTCTATAGGTGAGTACATCATGCATGCATGTCTATAGGTGAGTACATCATGCCTGCGTGTCCATTTGTAAATATCAGGTTATTGCTACAGGATTGTCTTTGGCATTGCGTTTCAAAATTAAGTTGTGTTGATAATTTCCACGCGATAATTAAAAAATAAACCTAATATAATTAAATGTCTTAGTAAAAGTTTTGTTGGATTTTGTTGAATGTCACGTGTAAAGTTTCGGTAAAGTTTCTTGACTTGTCATGTCGAGCTTTGGTTGAATGTGTTGAATGTCTTGTCTCAGGTAAAGTTTCGCGGTTGAATTTGTTGAATATCTTGTCAAGGGTAAAGTTTCGGTTGATTTGTTGAATATCTTGTCACAGGTAAAGTTTCGCGGTTGAATTTGTTGAATGTCTTGTCACAGGTAAAGTTTCGGTTGAATTTGTTGAATGTCTTGTCACAGGTAAAGTTTTGGTTAAAATTTGTTGAATGTCTAGTCTCAGGTAAAGTTTTGGTTAAAATTTGTTGAATGTCTTGTCTCAGGTAAAGTTTTGGTTAAAATTTGTTGAATGTCTTGTCTCGGGTAAAGTTTCGGTTGAATTTGTTGATTGTCTTGTCTCAGGTAAAGTTTCGGTTGAATTTGTTGATTGTCTTGTCTCAGGTAAAATTTGTTGAATGTCTTGTCACAGGTAAAGTTTTGGTTAAAATTTGTTGAATGTCTAGTCTCAGGTAAAGTTTTGGTTAAAATTTGTTGAATGTCTTGTCTCAGGTAAAGTTTTGGTTAAAATTTGTTGAATGTCTTGTCTCAGGTAAAGTTTCGGTTGAATTTGTTGATTGTCTTGTCTCAGGTAAAGTTTCGGTTGAATTTGTTGATTGTCTTGTCTCAGGTAAAGTTTTGGTTAAAATTTGTTGAATGTCTTGTCACAGGTAAAGTTTTGGTTAAAATTTGTTGAATGTTTTGTCTCAGGTAAAGTTTCGGCCACCGACAAGGACTCTATCTACCAAAACAACAACAAAATTATCTACGGGGGCGGGGGAGACAGGATGGCCATCATGTCAGGTGGGACTGTGATCCTCACGCAGGCCTGCATCGCAGGGGAGACTTTTACAGGTGAGTTGGGGGCTAGTTAACACTCTCGGTGTCGTCACTTTTAATAAAAGTGAGCGCTAAAGGTCAACCGTCTATGAGCACGAAGGCAATACCTGAACGTAAATGATGATGAAAATACAAAAATCACTTCACGTAATTTCAGAAAGTAGTCTAAAATATCAGGCCAGTGTCTAAAAATATGAACTCAGTATTTTAATAAAATATGAAAGCAGTGTTTAAAATTATGACACCGATGTTCAAAATATGAAACCAGTGTTTCAAAATATGAAACCGGTGTTTAAAAATATGAAACCGGTGTTTAAAAATATGAACCCAGTGTTTAAAGAAAAGAAACCAGTGTTTAAAAATATGAAACCGGTGTTTAAAAATATGAAACCAGTGTTAAACAAATATGAACCCAGTGTTTAAACCAACATGTTTTACCATCAAGGGACGGCAACAGCCAAAGATCAGGGCGAATACCCCGGTCCACTAACAGGAGACTCCGTACCGCTTACCATGAAATGTAATGTAAGTATAGATCTAATTTTTGACGGTATCATGGCCTTTGTTTTGTGTGAGGTGAATAGAGATGTATTTAAAACACCCACTGAAACCCCACGTTTACGGTTAATGTGGCATGTATAGTGGAGTTCACCTGTTTCAGTTTATTCAGTGACCACGGCATATGAAGGTATTGTGGGGACAGTACTAAACTATACCCAGCCACTTTTACTTTCTCTTACGTGAGTCAGACGCCCGTCAGAGCTGGGTGGACTCACGGACATCGTGCGGACTCGAGCCCGTGATCCGAACTCGAGACTTTCGGGGTCGAAGTCGAACGCGCTACCATACGACCACACTGTCACATTCGATCACACCGTTAGATTGTTTTAAAACATTCTATAAAATGTCCTCACAACAATAATGGCCTTACTGGACTTCGCTATACAAAACCCGGGGTAATACCCCCCACCAAGCCAGTCTAGTACACACCATCCCTCCAGCCCTGGCGTTAGAAACATAAAATTTAAGAACTATGAACTGGAAGAAATCAGCCTCATAGAAACACCATCTCCCTCAACCAATGAGAAACACATTAATACCCCCTACCCCACGAAAACCACCAAACTCACGACCCCACCCCCAAGAACCTCACATACGCCAATAAGAACCTCACTGGACTTCGCTATACAAAACCCGGGGTAATATCTCCCCCCCCCCCCCCCGTTAGTCTCATACACACCCTCCCCCCAGCCCTGGCGTTAGAAACACAAACTTAAGAACTATGAACTGGAACTTACTGGAAGGAATCAGCCTCATACAAACACCCTCCCCCTCCCCAGCCGTGCCCATCCACACTACCACCCCCAACAACGACAACCCGCAAGCCGACCACCAAAGCTTCCATCCCGACGACCACGGGAGCACTCATCAAACGGACGTTCGACTTCTCGGACATCCTGCCTTGGCTGATCCCCGCCATAATTGGAGCCTCGATCTGGCTAGCGCTGTTGTCCTACATGATTTACAGGTTCTGCTTCCCGTGCAAGAATCCGTGTCAAGGCCGTTGTGTGTCCAGGTACCGTCTGCATTTATTTATCTTTATTATTTAAAAAAAAAGGTTTTGCTAGTTTATTACATTTATTAAACAATTTAATTAAAAAAATAAAAACTTGTTTTATTACCCGGCTATGCTCGGGACAATGAAGATCGAGAGTAATGTCCCATATATAAGCTTAGTATTATGGGAAGATTGAATACTAAATAAAAATAAATAAATGCCAAATGATTAACTACACTTTTTGGTCAGTTACTGACGGTTTAAAATAAAATCGCCCACACGAGAAATATTATAAATCGACTATCTGATCGATTAGACACATCCACGTAATTCTACAATGTATATCGCATTCAAAGATACACTAACTATTTGGAATAGGTCAAAGATTATTATTATTATTTTTATTATTATTCGATAATATATTTCCACACATGGCTAATTGGTACTTAACGAAATTTAGTAAATTTTATAGACGAGTTGTAATTTTACATACACCTTTATTCAGTAATCTTATTTAAATAAAATCCCCTTCCCCTCTCCCCGAAGACCGAAATCACCAAAAGTCGAACCGGAACCGACTAAAAAATCACCTCCACCAGAAAAGCCAACTAAAGAAACTCCACCCAAAAAGTCGGATCCACCGCCTCCTGTGAAAACTCCACCGCAAGCTCCACCACCAGTGGTGCCACCGAAACCAGAGTGAGTTGTCATTCTTTGAGTGCTTATATTAACTTATATTACTATTATTATTTTTTTTTAAATTAACAAATGCTGAAAATTAATACATTTTTTTGGCAAACTAATACAATTAGCGCACCACATCTATAATTATTATAAAGACAACATAATACAGTGTTTTAAATTCCTAAACATTTAATAAACGTTTTCATCAAAATATTTTGTTTCGTATCTTTCAGACCTACGCCATACCTGTTTGGCTTTTGGAAAGAACGTGAGTTGTCCGTGTGTTTAAAATGAAAAGTTGTTTATTTATAGAACAGACTTATGGGCTATACTAAAATCTATAAATTACTTTAGAATTTTAAAATGTGTGTAAATTTTATGAAGAAGCAATATTGTGTAGGTATATAAGGGGGTCGTCCATAAATATCATCAGCCTCCCGCGGAAGGGAATTTGTGACTAGGGTACTAAGGTCGTGGATGTGATATTTATTTATATTGGTAAAAAATGTAACGTGTTAATTTTCGGAAGGATTATGTTAATTACGGGATGGTGGGTGGGGGTAGAAAGGAGAAAATAACTACACAGTAATTCACTAGACTAGAAACTACATACCGAACATCCTGAGATAATACAACATTAACTCACAGAAAACTATAACATAACCCTACTAAACACATGAATGATGAATGTATCATGAGCTTACTGCTAGTAAAGTAACACACTGGTGTAAGGCTACCGTTAATATTTGACACGACTTTAAACGTTCATACAAGAAACACGGGCAGTTCATCAAAATAAAAACAACTCACTGAACTTTGAACACACTGAATGTAAAGCTCACAACAAGACCAGTACCCCACCCATCCCTTCACTAAACACGTGTTCAGTAACGTTAACTTTCCCGCCAAATTTCATCAACAGAGTACACGGATCAAGACTTCCAGACGCAACAGCCAGCGCGAGCTGTCAAACCGCAGCCAATAGAAAGCATGCCGCCTCCAGAAGTTGTACCGAGAGGCAATGCGATCCCGCCAGAAAATTTAAAACTTGGCAACCCGGGACCTGGCCAGATAAACCCACCTGCCAGTAACGCTGCTCCACCAGTTGCCCCGCAGGCCTCTAAAAATAGCAGCTGCATAATTTTATAGTACCATTTTGTTCCTCTCTTGTTGGTTAAAGTGATATTTTACCAGAATAAGATCACGTTTAAAATTTAATAAGATTTGTATTCTGTAAAATAGTATGACGATTATTTACGTTGTGTTTTTTTAAAATTTATCCTAACTACGAGTGCTTTCTACGGTGGCATAATGCCTTAAGTGAAATGTATTGTATCGTTATGTATTACATTACTTTTGCTATTGATCTTAAAGTTTTAAAAATTCAATTAAAAACATCCAAATTAATATAAGAAGTTGCCAGATAAAGTTTTATTTTGAGTTGCTCTTTGCATCAATACAGTTCCGTATTTCTGAACTTTTTTAATTATGTCATTGTAAATGACTTAATACCCCATTTTTAAATTCAGCACTATTTTGCAATACTGAGTGAAGTCAAACAAAAAAAAAAGGGTTTTATATTTAAACACTAAGAAAACAAAATGTTATGTTTGGAGTTAAAGGTTGATTGTTGTATTCTTGAGGGTATTTAAAAAAAAAATTAAAGTTAGTGTCAATCATTGATTTAAATGAATATATCAAATATTTCCCCCAATAGTTACATTTAAGTATTTGTTGTGATTTGTAGACAGGACAACTTACCTATGTGGTTTCTTCCCCTCTCTTGCCCCACCCTGTCCTTGACCTTACTACAGTTCACAACCACCATTGTAAAATCCTGTACAGAATTTTGACAACACCAAGGGAAGCAACTAGAGTAACCTGTTTTGTACTAACCACTAACTACTTTCTGTTAACTTGTGTATTAGAGACAGTATTATGGTGCAGTATTGTTATGTAAATACATAAACACATTTTCTTCAAACTGATGATGTTGAATTTAGTTTTATAATTAGTTAATTTACTACAAATATAACACAAAATAAAAACTTTGAAAATATTTTCCACACAGTGTGTTTTATTTGTAAAAAAGTGTAAAATTCTTCAGTATACATAAAAATTAGGAATGGTTCAAAATACAGTTTGAAATATTTACATTGAAAATTAAATAAAAATATGTTATTTTCCCCATAAAATTCAACATTTTCCCAAGTGTTAGTTGTTCCCCTTGACATCAACACATCATAGGGCTATCACACTAAATGTCCTCATCCATTCCCTTACCACCACTCATTAAATCTATGTTCTTTACTCACTTTCAACCTTGACCTATCACACCTACAGATCTGTTCAGTCCAGTTGGTTTAAACAAGACCAAATGTGTATCAGGATGCTATTTTTAGACGAGGTTCTATAACAATTGGCTGACCCATTGTCTGTTCTAAACTAGAATATTCCGTGATGACTGAGTTCAGTGATTCTAAACTCTCTGAGAAATCCGCCAATTCCATTCCCTCCACCTGTGTGTAGTGATGGATATGAGCCTGAAATTTTAAAAATGTTGCATTCATTAATAAACAAATTTAACTAGGATATTAATTTTTTAGGTGTTAAAATTTAATTATAATATATACCTTCAAAGACAGAATTTCACAGAGAAATTTAATTTGTTATAATTTAGATTCTTCTCTGCATGCACTATTTAACCAAAAAGTTAACTTGGAGCATTTAAAGTTGTTTTTTTTTTTCAAATCTGTACAATATGCTTTTAAAACTTAAAATTTTATAAAATTTAAATCTTTCACTGACTTAATATTCACATTCAATATAATAAAACTTTTTAGAAAATGTAAATAAATTTAAAAATAAATATTGTATAAATAAGTATTGTACCTTCCGCTTATAAAGTTTGGTAAAGCGGTCGCGTATCTCAGAGAAAGTGTTGTGAACACATGTGTTGTTGGCTAGAGTCAGCAGTGAATAAGGTTGACCAACTGGCGCTACTGAGCACAGGCCAGTTTTCCAGCCCTCCTGATTCCAATGTACAAAATGGAGATTTGGTTTCAACCTGGTAAATAATTTTTTAAATTAATACCTAAAATATGTCTTACATATGTAAACCTAAGATTAATAGGTTACAAAAAATGTGGTTTGCCTTTTGATTTTTAAAACGCATGGAGTAAATTATAACAAAAACTATTTAAATAATGAACAAAACATATAATTATAGGTGTTAATCTGTATAGAGTAAAAATGCTTTGATTTGAGTCTCATAAAAAAACTGGACACAAGGACAAGATTTATTTTTAGAGTTTACTTGTGTATTTTATACCTATCTCTTAAAAAGTAAGCAAAGCAAAAAACAAAATGGAACCTATCAGTTCAGTGAGGAAAAAGTAACTGAAAAAAAAAGATGGAACCTATCTTTACTGAGTAAAAAGTAACTGAAACAAAAAAAAGGGCGAACCTGTCAATGTTTCTACGAATGTCCGACAGCTCAACATTTCCTCGCACCATGAGAGCACAGGCCAGGTAAAGGCTGCGTTTTGGGTCAACTTTTAACATCTGATGGTCGCTAGCAAACGCATCGGAGAACATCTGGTCAAGCCTGGGATGAAAATTAATTTGGCTTTAATTTTAAAATTGAGCCATGAGAAAATTGTTTGCTGGCTGAACTAAAGATTGCTGGTTTTAGTACACAATGTGGTAGGAGAAAGAAAATATGTTGGCTAAAAAATAAAATGTGCCTCAGAAAAAATCTGTTGGTTAAATTAAAGATTGTTGGCTAAAATAACAATTGTTGGCTAAAATAATGAACGTTGGCTAAACTAAAGATTGTTGGCTAAATTAAAGATTATTGGCTTTGAAAAAATTAAAAAGTGCCATCAAAACAAAAAAATCTGTTTGCTAAATTAAAGATAGTTGGCTTTAAAAAACTTTTACTTACCGACGTGGAGGTAGCTTAACATCTGCCATGCAGTATAGTGGAGTCTGACTTGCCACCAGGTAATGCATTTTTGGGAAAGGTACCAAGTTCATGGTGATCTCATTGAGATCCACATTCAGAGAACCCTCAAACCTGGCAGAACTAAAGGGAGAAACAAACAGGACTACTGTAAGACACCTGTTCTTGTAATACTCTGTAAATTATTTTAAAATAATTTAGTTATAAATAACATTTGAAACATTGGTAAATATATTTATTCAATGTAGTTTCAAATTAAACAGTGATTTTAAAATTATTGTAAATGGATTTTTAAAAAAATATTTTCACTACTTAGTTGAATAATGTCAACAACAAGGTTCTCATGAGTAGAAAAAAACATAGAGTGAACTCTACATATTAAACAGTGTATTGAAGTTTAATTATATCTAGGAGAAATATAAATACATTTTTCATACAGCTGTTTAAAAATTAAACATTTCGTAATTTCAATGTTTTTTATAAGCAATTAGTCCAGTTAAATTTGTTTTTTGTCAATTTAAACCAATTATTCAATCAATTAAAATCAAATTCTAATGATTTCTCTATATAACAAAGATAACCACCCAACCTGGTCATATTTAACAGAAGATTTGCTACGAGATTATTCATCTTGTCAAATGGCCGCTCCTGCGACTTACTGACCACCCCTCCAGCGCCAGCGGTCAAGGCACTGTCTGGCTTAACAGCGGCGTTGTCGTACATTCTCTTGCCAGTCTTGGATGATGGGACAGCCTGCATTATTTTATTCACTATATCAACCAGAGCCTGTTTGAAAGAATTTCAGAAAATGTTTTAATATGTACATGTACTAAACAGTGGCAACATATATTGTTTAATTACAGAAGACCAAATTGATATGTATTTGTATTTATAAATGACTGACAAAAATATATTAATAAATGACTAAAATATGATATTGATAATTCGCATTTGAGTTATATTGGTAAAAGAGCAGATACATGTAATGATAAATGACTTGATAGTACATATTAGTATTGACTAAAATTTAATACTGATAAATTACCCTATTAAATTGAAATATATTGGTAAATGAAAAATTGATAAGAATTAAATATATGGATAAATGACCTGATTGAAACATTGAAAAAAGACCTGATTAAAATCTAATGAAAAATGACCTGGTTTTCAATGGGTAGAACACAGTCAGCGTGGTCTGTGAGCTGTCTCATGGCAAGTACACTGTTGTAAGGGGAGGTAATCACATCGTCTTCAGCTGACGGGTACACAGCGGTTACAAACCTTTAAGAATAGAATAACAGACGTGGTACAAGGCAAACAATTTTTTAAAAAAGTTAATAAAAAGTCTAGTGACAATTTTAGTGCAATTTCCTTATGTTATCCATAACAATTTTAAATCGAGAATAATCATAAATTCAGCAAATAAATAATGCAACACAAGTAGTTTTAATAATTCAAAACAAAATAGAAAAAATATTTATTAACGAGATTTTAAAAAATGTGCGGACATGTAGGGGGTATTTGGTTGTCGCGCTCTCTATATTGCTATATAGAACTGCTCGCGCAGTTCGCTGCTAAGCCAGCCAGGTCACATGATTTACCCTCCTCCTCCTTCGCCTTCCACTACCTTCTTTGCTATATAGTACTGTAATGTACAATGTATAATATATATTTTTTTAAATTTTTTTTTTGACCGAACGAAAGGATATTTTTGAAAACTTTCTTTGGCAATATTGTTCTAAATTATGGCAGGAATCGATTGGTAAATGTTTCAAGTCGCTAAGGGGTCTGGTTGCCGAGATATGGGCAAAAAACTGCTTTTTTTCCGAGGTTTTTTGGCTTTTCCGGGAAATCCAGGTAGGAATTCCGGGAATTTTTTTGGCCCACAATCACGGAACTTGCTTAACATATTTGCTTTTGGAACTAGTCCTCGATATTGCTTCGTTGAGGAGGAGATACGACTTAAAGCTGTGGACATCCATCCATCCATCCATTCCCAGAAATGACGAGTTAATAATCGCAATTCTCCAGAATGGAAATTGCGCTAAAAAAGTTAAGAATTACTTTCACACAGATGTGATAGTCAAACATAAAAAATAAAACACTACAGCCCACTTGAGTAAAAGATAACAAATATACCTGTATACATCCGGGTATTCGTCTTGTAGCAAGTTTAGTATACTGGTGCCAACACCAGATCCCGTACCTGTGGAAAATAAATATATCAACTAGAGGCCTATACTATATATTATAGGTCCTACATACATACACATACATGCTTACATATATATCGCAGATGTACTCCCCCATCCTTGCCAAAAATCACAAGCAAGAACCATTACCTCTACAGTTACGTTTTAAAATACACACCTTTTACTAACTAATAACTATGGTTAGTTATCAGTAGTTATCAGTTGTAATGTATGTAAACTAAACGAAAAAGTTGGCATGGTTTTCTGTTCAGTTTATAAAACTCTTGTATGCCATCAATTCTATCGATCTCTAGCAAATCGACATCGAAAGTTTGAGGGGGGGGGGGTGCAAATCGAAAGTTTGAGGGGGGGGGGGGGGGTTTGCAGAGGCGTAGCGACCCTTCCCGGCGCCCGGGGACAAACTTTTCGATTTGCACCCCTCCTCAAGATTTCGATTTACACCCCCCCCCCATCAAACTTTCGATTTGCACCCCCCTCAACCTTTCAATTTATTTTTCCAACCCATTTTGGCGCCCCCTAGGGTCGACGCCCGGGGACATATGCCCCACCCCCTCGCTACGCTACTGGGGTGCAAATAGAAAATTTCAAAGTTTGTCCCCGGGAAGGGTCGCTACGACTCTGGGGGGTGACACCATTAAGTGGCGCACCGGGTGACACCCGACCTCGCTACGCCACTGGTGTGTTCTATTTCAGACACATTCGTCTCCAAAAAGATATTACACAGTAAGAAGTTATCAAAAAATTATGGAGAGTACATTATGCCGATTTTACCCGCCCCCTCCACCCTATTCCCTGCCTCCAGAATCGCGAGACATTGCTAAATAATCACCTTAAGACTAAATTGATGTCACATGAAGATATTCACTTTTTTTTGTTCATAAACTAACCATAGTTTTAAATTCAGAGTGTTTTTATCACATTTATTCTCTAGCATATTATGTCATTAGCCTAATACTTCTTCATTAATATACGACTTATTATACGACTGAGATTTTTATGTTTTGGTACTGCTTTTTCTAATCTATTATTAGCAGTGACGTGCAGTGAAATTATAAAAACCATACGTTTCAGTATCATTTTACCAATGAGGTTTATAGAAAATATGTGTTTATTTTCCGCTCCTGTGTTTGATGATATCAATGCGCAAAGCTGCCTGAGACCCCCCCCCCCCCCCCAAAAAATAAATAAAATTGGATATGGTGTTTAAATTATATTTTATGTTGACTGCTTTTTAAAATGTACGTTTGGTATAGATAGACCTACAAAAAAAAAAAAAAAAACAACGCGAAAGCATAATCAATCAGACCTAGTTAGAATGGTAGTTAAATTGAATTTATATAGAAAATATATACTTTTGACAGTGTCCGCCCCCCCCCCCGAAAATTTCAAGTGCACCCCCGGAGAAAAAAGTCTGGAAGAAACACTGGTGATTGTGTGCTGTTCTATATGAGGTGTGTCTTTGTCTTTTTACTTTCTCGTATATACGTAGTATAGAGAAAGTATTGTAATCGTGCAAAAAAAAAAAAATCGAGATTTTTACAAATCTCGACGTTTTACACCTCACTGATACGGAAAAACATAATTTTGCAATCTTGTCCGTATGTCTGTGTGTGTGTGTGTCTGTCCGTGTGTGTCTGTCCGTGTGTAAACACGATAACTTGAGTACCGTTACAGCTAGGTTGATGAAATTTCATATATAAGTATTTTATCAAAATCGTAGATCCGTATCAACTTTTGAGCGATTTCCGATAACCGGAAGTGGTACTTTTCCTACTTTGAATTTTTTAAAAGCCTATAACTTGAGTACTATTTCAGATAGATAAATGAAATTTCACATGTAAGTATAAGATCTAATTCTCTACCTTCTGTTAAATTTTGAGTAATTTCCGTTGACTGGAAGTAGTAATTTACGCTACTTCCGATTTCTCAAAAAACTAATGTAAATTTTAAAAGTACTAATAATATTGCGCACTATTATGCGCTTTTTTTTATTTGCGTTCACTTGGTGTGCAATTAATTTGTCTACGAGATTTTATTCTATTTTTAAAACTTTAAGTATTTAAAATGGATTAAAAATCATGTCTATAGCCCGAGTTTCCATCCCCTGTTATTTTATATAAGAATATTCGAGAAAGTTTAGGGGAGATCACTCCCGGTTTATTTATCGTTATGAACAGATAGCTGAAGTGATATTACAGTAATAGATCTAGAAATATACAACTTTATTATAAGTAAGCTACTTTTCGCGCATGTCTTGTGATGGTTACTATTTGTGTTATTGTCAAAAGGCAAAATTTCTCGTGGCTAAATTGATTTTAATAAAGACTGTATTATTTGGAAATAGAGAGCAGTAAAATTGTGATGATCAACTGTCGTGCGATTGTGAGTCATGCGAATTTATAATAGTTCGTCATAGATTTTATTTTAGGAAACAACCAGTGACGTTATTAAGTCTAAAAATAAAATTGCCAGTTTGGCAAAGCTTGGCTAAAACAGACACATATCAAAAGAAAGACTAGCTTCCGTTTGGTCATAGTTGCGTTTAAAATGATAATGTAAACCAGCGAATCAGCTCTGTGTTTTGATTTTGAAACCGGAAGTGATCTTTGAATATAAACAAAATGTCGACGCTAAGAAATCAAATACGAGAGGACCACTTAACTTGTGCAATTTGTTTTAACAACTTTATAAAACCTAAAGCTTTGCCTTGTTTACACACATATTGTGAGAACTGCCTTCGTGACTACGTTGTAAGTCGTGGATATGAAAGCCTAGGACATTTTCCTTGCCCGACGTGTAGATCACAAACAAAAATGCCAGACTCCGGGGTGGATGGTTTTCCGAATAATCATCTCATGTCTTCTTTGTCTGACACAGTTGAAAATATCACCCCATCTCGACCTGTACCTAAACCCCGTAGATCTCTTGGTTTAAATGAACCAAGTAAGTTATCTGGTGTTCCGGAAAAGAGTTTTTCGGATGTTAACGACGAAGTCGAATATAATCATTATCAAGTAGACCATCTGGACATATCACCTCCTCCCTCCTATTCAAGTGTGGCAGACACACATCCCAATATCAGTGATGGGGCCACTAATAGTATACCTAAAACCTGCGCCAGTGACACAGAACCTGACTGGATGGTTGTTTCGAGGCCATCTCCATCAGGATGTTTAAAAGAGAAACCTGAATCTACAGAATTTTGTATGGTTTCTGCAGTAGTAACTGAAGAAATGACTAGTCCTAGCTGGTCTATAAGTTCAAACTCAGATGAAAACTTGGGTTCGTATAGTAATAAGCAGCATCCTAACCAACCACCAGCATATTATCCTAGGGATAATGTGTACCCAACCATCCCAGGCACACAGTCAAGGCATGATATGCTCCCTTCAGTATCTCCTCCCCCTCCTATTGGATGGAATTTGAATGTCATTGATGGAGCAAGAAATCCTGAGAATCATGATGTAAGAACATCACCACATTCTCCAGACAGAAGGCCAAGGCCTAATAACCATCCTCCACAGATTTATCCAGCAGTACCTGGGCATATTGAACAGTTCAGTACGGCTTGTACAGAAAATCTCTTTTTAAGGTTCGGCAAGCAGGGCTCCACTGTTAGAGACTTTTTAAAACCTATCGGAATAGCAGTCAGCAAAGAAGGGAACTATGTCGTCTCTGACAATGCCGGAGACCAGAACAGAATTTTTATATTCAATAGCGGCGGAGAACTTATAACTGCTTTCAAGTGTGGTTGTAAAGTCAAAGACATTACAATGAGCAGAAAGAATGAAATTTTAGCCGCTGTCCATAAAAATATTGCTGCGATTCGCCACTTTACTATGGCTGGACAATGTAAAGGAGAATATGGGAAATTCTTCACATTTGAAGAGCCCTGTGGTATCGCTGAGTTGAGCAATGGGGGAGTTGTGATAACGGGTACACAAAATCATTGTGTTTATATTCTAACTGAACAGATGAAGCTAGCTACACAGTTTGGAAGGAAAGGAAACGGGGACGGATATTTTCAGTATCCTGGGTTTGTTGCTGTTGACTCTAAGGATCATATCATTGTCTCTGACAAAATTAATCACTCTATTCAAGTCTTTGGAACTGATGGAAAGTTTAAAATTCGTTTTGGAATTAAAGGAACTAGTCATGGGAATTTGCAGACGCCGATGGGTTTATGTGTGGATGATGTAGATAACATCATCATAGCAGACAGTGATAACTACAGGGTGGAGGTGTTCTCTCCTAAAGGCAGGTGGCTTTCTACAGTGGTGAAAAACACCCACGAGCTGGGGGAGGCTGTCAAGCCAGTCAATGTCGCGGTCACGCCTACAGGGAAAGTGGCAGTTTTACTCAGAGGGCCGTATTTTGCTGAGGTGCGGATTTATTCATCCAACCACAAGCAGCAGAGTGACCAACGTGAAGGACTAGTAAGCACATCCACATCTAGTTGGTTTTTCTAACTGTGCTTTAAATAGATGCTTGCACATCTGTTCTCTAGTCGCTAGATGTATTAGAATATTTTCTGTGATTTACTGCTTAAATTATTTTCAATAGTCATCCTTGTACTCATTAATATATTTATTATTATTATTTTATAATTGTCAGGCATAATTTTAACAATTCTTTTTATCATACGGTTGATACAGAATAGGATATTACATTTGTTGACTGAATGAAATTAAACTAATTTCTGAGTAATGTTAATGAACTTAATGATTTAATATAATAAATTTCCAATGATAATATTAAAAAATTATTTAAAATAACATTCACATCCGACTTTTATGACAGCACATTTTGTGATATAATGTAAAGCAAGCAGTAATTATATTAAAATCATTCCATTAAAACTGTTTATTGGTTTTCTCATAAAATATTTGTGATACTTGTACTTGTCTGTTAATTTTTTATTTAATACACTTTTATTGCATAGTAACATCCACACTTAGCATGCATTTGGTTTGCTTAAGAAAATCTATTAACAAATATCAAATATCAGTTACTGATACTTTAGGAAATATTCATCATTTCAGAGATATTAAAACTCTTGATTATATATGGTTGTTATAGTAAAACTTTTGTTGTTATTTCTTGGATATAAATTCACCTGAAAAAGTAGGTTCTGTTTAAAAAAATAGTCTAGTGGGATCCCTACTGATACTGAAATAGTTGAACTATTTTAAAGGCATTTACTATTACCAATCATGCTAAGTGGAAGCCTTCAACTTAAGTTGATAAAAAGTTCTAGTTAGTGCTGCTAAAAATACTAATAATGTATGCTTATTTGTCAGTCATACTAACCACTGTATGTTCAATATTTTCTTAACACTGCTAACCACACAATCATTTGCAGAAATGTTTCTTATTTCACATTTATTTTCTGTTTAATTATCTTAAAAAAAGAAAGTAGAGGCCTAATATCTATTGTAATGAAATACTGCTTAGCCTCTTAGCTTGTAGTAGAAAGCTGTATAGCTTAGTCATTACCTTTTCCTTTTTTTAAAATTATCAATTATATTTATAAATCTAGGCACTTTTCTTAAAGTTAATATAGATTAAACTTTTGATTTTAAAATATTTACAATTAATAAATTAGAAATATAGTATAATATTAGCACACAGTAATTCTATTTATATTTATAAATTATTGGCTGTGTGGTATTTTAAAAAAATAATAACCTTAAGGACGAGCATGACATATTTCAAAATGTATTTACCTTATCTTAGCTAGTTTTTACTGTCAAGCTAAATTTTGAATTATTTTTTAATTAACAGGCATCCAATTAAATTTTTGTTGTTAATTAAATACATTCTGTAATCCTAGAGAAAAAAACGAAGATAGTGTGGATATACCAAGATTGTAGAACCCAGTGAAACACAAGACACTACAAGTAGACTCAACCTACTATTTTACATAATAGAATACTATTAGTATTCTCACAATGTTTTTGTACATAAAGTAGAACACCATTAATGATGTTTTTTTTCACATATTTACAGTCTCTTTCAATGTATACTGTATATGCAGGCACTGACTACCAGATCTTACTAAAAAATTTTAAGAAATTAAGAAGGTACATTGTGTCATGATATGCCAGCAAATTCAGTAATAAAATAGTTCTAATGATGGTAGTGTAGTAACTGGTTACTAGTGAGTTGTGTAGTGTGTTACAAATATTGCATGCGGTTTCACAATATATGTTGAATAGTTCTGTCATAATAAAATAACAAAGCATGTCTGGTTATTTATATAATAAAATACATTTTGTTTACTGACAATTACATTAACTTAGGTTTGATGATTATCCCTGCAGAGTCTAATACCCACCCATTCTATTATCAAGCATAATCCCCTCCTGTTTTATCACTGACAGATTTTATGCCCTCTCTCTGCCCTACACCAGATAGGATAAAACACCCCCCCCCCCCGATCTATCAAGCTCTGTTATGGGAGTTCTTCGCCTGCATCATGTACATTCTTAATTCTCAGATTTATACAAAGCTTAGAGGCATTTTTTAAATTTAAAAAAGATGCTCGCTGCTTTTTTATTCTAATAGAATATTTCATGAGCATAATTATAATAAAAACTGTCTTTTTAATTCTAAGTCAGTATACAGTATGCTATTTCTATTTTAAATCAAAATTTACTAATAAAGCAATATTTCACAATAATAATTACTCTCTTTTGTACAGTTACTAATCAATATCACTATTTGCCTGTGGTTAACAAAGGATTCTGTTAATACATTTCTTTAAATGATTATTTAAAGTTTTGAAAAAGACAATTCTTCTGTGATCAACATTGTAATACTCCATTACTTTACTCTTTTTTTTCCATCCCATTTTTCAGTCGCCACCCCGCTTCCTAGGTCCATGCTGGTAACAGCTGATGCTTGTTAGATGAGTGTAATGCAGAGAGTAAAAATGTTTAACTCGCAATTAAACTTTTGGTATAGTAATGATGTTAAATAATGATGCTAAAACAAGTACTACGCAGTAACATTTCTTCATAATGCCATTTTATTTTACATTTGATAATGTGAAAACTTGTTAAACTTTATAAATTTAATTGATAATTAAAACTGAAAGGGCATATAGTTGTTCAAAGAACACAACTTCAAAACAAAATTTTTATTTTAAAAGGGACATGATATATTTTTTTCAGAATGTACACATTCTTAAGTTTTGTTTAATGCTTAATTGGTGATGTGATATTTCTGTAAATACTTTAACTTAAGACAATTCATACGCAATCTGGGATTGGCTTTTTACATTGGTGCCTTGAAGCAATGGTTATTACTATTGTAATAGAAAAATAATGTTGCTAACAATATTTAGTTATGAACAAATATGGAAGCTAAGAATTCTGTGTAATAATATTAAGGAATACCATCATTTTTATCAAACACTAGAATCCATGACTTTTTTTTTTGCAAAGAAAATATTTTTCTTTAAATGTGCTAGTATTTGATTAAAAAACTTTTTAAAAGTACAATTAAGGAATCTGTTTTTGTGGTGTATTTTGTTTAATATCAGTGCATGAGTGCCCGGCTGGCCTACCTTTTCAAATGTCATTGTCTCCACTATTGTGTTCGTGTGGTTTATTTTATTTCTGTAATCAATAAAAAAGTGTAATGTGTTTTTCAATAAGTGCAGATAAATTCATACAAAAAATGTAATATCGTTTAAGACTTCAGCTGTTACTTACATAAAATACAGCATATAATGATACTTCCTCAGAAAAATATTAAATGATATTTGTTTTCACTGTGTTTCTTTTCCATTGACTGAATTACCATCACAAAAATGTATTTAAACAATGGGATTTATGCACCATAACCACTTTGTGTAAGTGAGGCAGTGTACCAACAACCTGTAGGAAATGCCTAGATTGTACTGTAGACATCTAGTGTTTAAAAGATATCTACAGCTGATAACCTTCTAGGCAAGTAGCTTGTGCTCAAAGACTAAAAAAAAATTAATTTGGGATTGTTGTATGGTACACTAAAATTTTTTATAAAGAGCTGCGAAGGTGGGGGTTGTTCAGTTAGGTAATTAAATGAGAGAATGTGTTTGGTTGGAAGGAATTTTATCACATGAAAGATTGAAATGACAAAACTACCGAATATTGATGTGTTATTCATATGTTTAAGTCATTCATGAAAGTTGTAAGTTGGTGACAAAATCTGCACTTACCTCCCCCCATAGAGTGTAGAACAAAAAAACACTGTAAACAATCACAAAATTCAGCAGCTCTACGAATTACATCTGACAACTGTTCATGGTACTGTGTCCCATACATTTTGTGTCCAGTAGCCCTTGAAGAATAAATTCATTAAACAAGTTTATATGAGGTTAGATGGGCAGAAATTACCTTTAAAGCTCTAAGATTGAGTTCACTTGTGCATATATTATGAGAAAATATAAAAGTAGGGCTACTAACTTACCAGTTGTTACCAGAGCCAGACACATCTGTTAGCAGTTGCCTGCAGTCAAAAACTTCCGCTAAGGGTCCTTTCATCATTTCACTCACAACCCCTTCCTCCATGTCAACCAGAACAGCCTGTAATGCATAAATAATTTTCATTAAAAAAAATTAGATAAACAGCCTAAAAGATTACTAATTTTATGGCTAAAACTCAAGAGTATAAAAATTAGAAGTGAAAACTCTAAGAATATAAAGTATAAACTTTGTAACTACTTTAATTCATACACATAATTTTTAAAAAAACGCTAGCGTCTGGAGTGAAATAGAATTGATGTGACTGAAATTTTGTAGGCAACTATACAAAATGTTTTCTAGTAAATAATTAGTTTGCAAATTAATCAGTAACACTCTTGCTCAACCCTAAGATCCATTTTTAGGTCTTGTGTTTAAAATAAAAGCCTTTAAAAAACAATCTTCTGTATGATAACTTACCCTGGCTTTTAGAGACTTTATTTTCCCTTTTCCTTGACCCAAGGGTATATTAGCAGGATCTTCATGTCTGCTGTCCACATTACGAAAGAAACTGCCAATGGATTCATCATAGATGCCATTCTGACACAAAAATAAGAAATCTTTCAGTTGTTTGTAGTAGACTTCACTTAACATTTATAACAGAAAAGATTTAACTTTCAGAGCTAAGAGCAGGAGGTTTATGAAGAGAAGAATGTTTAAAACCTACCTTATTCACATTAGCATATTCTCTCAACGCCAAATCCCAAAATCTACAACCAATCTGGTTTCCACATTGACCAACTGAAAATACACAGATAATTAGGCCTATATGATTAAAAAAATAAAACCAAATTTTTTTTTCAAAAGAATAAATGCTTATAATCCAATTATATATCCAAGAGAATATCCAATTTCAAATAGGTCATTACAAGTTTATTAAATACGACATATATATACAAAATATATCTATTTGAGGGAAAAGTTTGCAAAATAGTTTTAAGGAGGTAAGAAATTTTAAGGAAAAAGCAGTGGGGTGAGATCTAATTCTTGTTTTATCTCCTCCCTTTTGGGCTAAATAGTCCTTAACCCTTTGAGCCCTGACCTCCCTGGCCTAATTTCTCCCATTTCCTGAGCTCCCAGGGCCAAACCAATTTTCACTTATCTGCTTCTAACTTTGCCTAAAACTTTTGAACCGTTTGAGATAATCAAGCCAAATTTGGTATCCAGACTCAGGATCAAACAACAATGCAGCAAGATTCTGAAATTCTATATTGTTTTTGCAATGTATGAACAGAACAATGTATATAAAACGAACACATAATTATTGTTTTAATAGAACATAGAAGAAACCAATTTACATTTAGAAATTGTTTTGTTATTATTGATACCTGGCCACACTAGTTCATCGCCAGAAGTCCACTTTTATGTGATAACTATCAAAACAGTTATCACTGCCGGACCCGATGCAAAGAAAAACTTCGCAAGTTTTGCACCAGTAAACTTTTTTTTTCGTTTCGGCAAGTCTTTGTGCTTGGCACCACATGCATCAGAACGTACTTGAACAGTTTCATTGTCACTGTTAATTTCAATGTCACAGTGTTCAGTCTGAAATTCAACGTCACTATCATCACAATATTGACTAGGAATATTTTCTTCATCAGAATCAATAAGTAGTTGTATTGCCTGAGATGCAGTCATTCTACTTCTTTTGTTGATATTTCGGTATTTTGCTTCATCTTTTGCGCCAACTTTATGTGCTGAAGTCGATGGCTGTGGCTCAGCTTTTCGTTTCGGCGGCATTGCTACGAAATGTAAACACTTTCACTTTTCCTAAAATCTATTTTTAGAATCATAATCCCGCACTAAAATGACATATGCGCACTTTTAGTCAGTCTTCCACTAATTATATTTAATTAGACGATATACCGGCCGGTAGGAATATGACGCTAGATCATCGGGCCGGAAAACCGGCTTTTCGGACATATATGCCTAATGTTGAAGCCGGTTTACCGGCCTGGCGGGCTCAAAGGGTTAAACTACATGATAAGATGATTCCTCAGCTTTTCTAAGATCAAGGAACAGCAGGCTTGTTAACTCAGAGGTACTCAAGTACTCAACTGAAGTATTTAGTAGCCTATATTAATTAAAATTAAAATAGTATTAGTAGTTTTATTGGGGGTTTTGTGGAGGTGTGGGGCTGACTAGGGCTTAATTATTTAATACCACACAGTGCCTAGTGCCCTGCTCAACCCTGTTACAGTTTATTACTATAATATACTTTATATACTACTATACTAAATATAAACGAATGAAACAAAAAATACAAATTATTCAAAATGTTTCTTTTCAAAACAATCATTCATCACATCCTCATTCATAGTGTGTGTACTCAGTAGGCCTACTAAGTGTGGGTAATTAGTTAGTGTAGTCTCAAAGTCTGTAGTAGTGTAGTCGGACAGATAAAATATTAAAATAAAGCATATTATAGCTAGTCTCATAACGCGAGTTGAATTACCTCCCCTGACCCGCTTTTTTATGGCCACTTTCTAGTTCGTTTTTTTCGATCGCGTCTCGGCACTGTTGCTAAAAATAGCATTCGCGCAATACCATACGGGTAAATCTGTTTGGCGTCTGCTACACGTGATAGATCGTTGAATGGCCGACAAGCTGATATAAAAATTATTGCGACCGGATGCGATTTTCGTGGAAATTGAGCTAGATTTAGCAAAAGACAGCTATATTTGTGTAAAATATTATTATTTATACTTCTACTTACACAGATATTTTGATAACTGAAGTTCAGCCGTCCATTTTTCTTTTAAAATGTATCTTTAGAATTTCTGTACCTTTTGGCAATCGGTCAGGAGCATTTGCGCACTAAACCCACCCCCCTACGGCAGATCCGATTTTTTTCCCAGTGAACTCGTACTGACCTCCCACATAGCTAAGATAGTACATTGATACTGATGGGAAAGCCTCTAAATCTGTATTCCTACTAGAGATCTAGAAATAAATCTAGATCGTGGAGTTTTTATAATGACTTTAAATTGAATGTCTCCAGTTTAAGATATTTTTTTTTCAAAACATAGCTACTTTTAGTACTATATTTAAGTATTTCAAACCTTTTTGGTAGTTTTTTCTTAAACTTAGACCTAGATCTAGATCTAGTGATTAGATATCTATATTTTGTACTTATAACTTGCAGGCCTATTAAAATAATAATAAAACAGTTTGCTTGATAACTTCATTAGGTCATTTCATAAACACAAATGTTATAAACATATAAAAATCACAAAACCATAGGTAAATAATATATCTGAATTCTGTAGCCTACCTTACATTTAGGCTAATACTGAATTAAAAAGAAATTACATTAAGGTTTGAAATTAATACAACTTGTAATTAAGAAAGAAAGCTTCAATTCTAAATACTAAGATATAATAACAAACAATGAAACAAATTCAAAGCTTTTTTCAACCCATTTAGTCGAAAAGATTTTTATTTTTTCCGATATTGACCAAAATAATTTTTTAAAGCTTAGGCCTAATGTTTTTACAAACATAACTCAATTTTATTAGGCCCCTGTAAACATTAATTAAGATTCCTCTGTAGACAAAGCAATCTATTTGGCAGATGAAGTAGAGTTCATGTTTCTTGACCTCGGCATATGAAGTGATTGTCCGTGTGGTCAGCGATATTCACAGCCGCCTTTACTTTTTACCTTTAATTTCCCCAATGTATATCAGGTACCCATCAGAAATGGGTGGACTCTAATTGAATTTTATTAAACAAACATTTTGATATAGGCCTAGATCTATAATCTATAACATTCCAAACAACATCTGTTCTGTAGAATTTACCTTTCTGCTTCCAAATGCGGTATTTTCCAATTGAAAATTCATCACAAAACATACAATAAATTATATAAATGGCATTTTATAAATTTATATAAACTATTTACTTTCACCTTGGTGTAAAAAAATGTAGGTATAAGCAAACTGATTTCAATAGTAAGAAAGAATCATGTCTTTTCTTGCTTACTAGCTTTAAAACAAGTGAATTTGACTTTTTACCTGCGTTTTTGGTCGCGTTTCTATATATTTTATTTGCGACACTAAAAAAATTATATTTAATCAACCAATTATGCTAAATTAATAAAATTGGTACTGTTGGATTGCATTTTTAAAGCTCTACAATTATATGCTATTCTTTTTATAATTTGAAGAAAATTGAATTTATATGAGACTAACTACATATTAGCATAAGGCTTATCATAAGGTCTAGGCCTACATACTACATACATATTAATTAACTATTTAACTAATATTATATTAGATCTTATAGATTTTTAGTTCTAGGCCTACAACTAATTACTAAGTTACTAAGTACTAAGCCCGTACATTTTTTTTTTAGTTTTAGTTTTAACCTAAAACAATCATACAAAAAATTATTGAAATATTATTAGTATTAGGCCTAGTACTAGATCTAGTACTAGATCTAGTTATAAGTTAGTAGTTAGTTACGTTAGTTACTTAGTATAACTTAGCTAGTACTTTAGTAGGAAGTAGGGCCTAAATGACAAATGTCGTAAATTCGTAAAATGTAAATTATTGTTATTTAATTTGTTATTGTAAATGAATTGAAACTATTAAAATTTAATTATTAATTATTACATTAGTATATTAGTATAATATTAGGCCTAGTCCTTACAAAAATACAAATACATGTAGATAAATATAAAAGTAACATTCGTTTTCTGCAACATTACCTTGAACAACAATAGATTGTGTCATCTGGAAATGTTTTCAATCGGTTTGTTTACGGGTTCCCAACAACAATTTAAAATTATATTTTTGGAGTAGCTGTCCCTGATTGCGTTATCGTAACTCCTTCATAAAAAAGCTACTTTAAAAAAATTTCGCTTCTAGATCTATAATATTATCTAAATCTACGTAGGCTACACGAAAAACAAATAAATTAATAAAAGAAAGACGGATTAAAAAAGTGTTAAAATTATGCGTTTTGAAAAATATTTTAAATACCTACTGAATGTTATTTCAGTTGTCATGTTTAAGATCTCTAATTTGTTAAAAACATTTTAAAATTAAATAATTGTAATAAAATTTAATATTTAAGAAAGCAGCCAATCTTAGAGGCTTTAGACTCACTTTAGAGTTTAGAGGGATTTGTTAACATTTTTAATGAAATAGTAGATCTAGATCTAAACTCTAAATAGATCTGGTGTTTAGCGATGTTTTCCGCAATATTAAAATAATTAACTAAATCAGGGGCGTAGCGAGAAGGGGGGGGGGGGCGGGGGGTGCGGACCGCACCGGATGACACCATTTAGGGGGGTGACACCAAGGCAAAAAATAGCAAAATATATAGAGAAAAACTCGAGGGGGAGGGGGTGCAAATCGAAAGTTTGAGGGGGGGGGGGTGCAAATCGAAAACTTGAGGGGGGGTGCAAATCGAAAGTTTGCGGGGGGGGGGGGGGGGGGGGGCAAATCGAAAATTTGAAAGTTTGTCCCTGGGAAGGGTCTCTACGCCTCTGGGGGGGGGGGGGGTACACCATTAAGTGCCGCACCGGGTGACATCCGACCTCACTACGCCACTGAACTAAATATACCCGTAGCCAAGGGGAAACAACCCAATTAATATTGTTGAATATAAAAAAAAAAGAATTTAAATTTGCAGGTTGAATGAAGTGATTTTATTTCGGGTGTAGGTGTGTAATGAATGGCATTAATGGGCGAACCCTTAACCTCCATGCTTTATCCCTGTTCGCGGCGTATTGTGTCCTGATGGTGGTTCTCACTTCCTTATGTGTGTATGTGTGTGGTGATGCCTCCTGCCTATTCTCCTTATGGTGATCAGAGTTTCTTCCAGGCATCTCTTAGGGGGGTGGGGCTCTGTCCCCCCCCCCCCCCCGAACGAAATGGAATTTATATAGAAAAGTATACATTTTACAGTGCCCCCCCCCCCCCCAAAGAAAGTCTACCCCCCCCCCCCCCCCCCCCCCAGGAGAAAAAAGTCTGGAAGAAACACTGATGGTGATTCCCCTCTGTCCTATGTATTATTTAGCAGTTAACCCTCCCCCACACAATTTTGTTTTAATAACCATTGCTTATAATTGTGTTGATTCCATACTATTCCACAGGCTTGCAAAAACGCTGACACATATTTCATTTATAAAACAGTTTAATGTTAATAATACTAATGTTTGGTACATATTTACATAACAAAGTTTGAATATTGGTTTAAGGAAAAATAAAGGAAAGACAAACATGTAGCATTTTTAAAAAATGAAATTAATATAAATAAAGATGATATATTATACAAAATAATACTTTTATACACTTTTAAAATTTGAAGCAAAAGAATGATCAAGTAGAATTTTGAGTGTAGTCTATTTTTGTCATGTATAACAAGTTAATTTCTGCACATTGTCTTTTCTTTTGTCCACTAGAAATATCTTTAAGAACTCATATATAATTAGAATGGACACAAAAATAGCAGCTTTCATTTTATATATCAGCAACAGTCTGAACTGTTTTAAATCTATTATGCTAATTAAGGGAGAGAAGTAGGCCTAATATAGATTCAATTTACCCTGAACACCATATGACCATTTAAAATTTATCTAATGCCCATCATAGCAATAATGATGCTTCATATTTTAGTATTGAAATAGTAAAAGAGATGTCATAGTGATAAGTAGGAGCCAATTCATTTTGAATCACCTACAAGGGGAATTAATCTATGGTTGATATAAGAAACTAGAACTGAGTCATTAGTTGATAAGATCAGCTTAGCTTAATCTTCTTCATTTTTTTTTAATTGTAATGTTGGATGGGATTTCCCCAAACATAATTAAATATTACATATCAGCCTGTTATGTGCCAAATAGGGCATTGACCCTTAGATTTTCAGCCAGCTGTTCCTTTTGGAGCATAGTTTAATAATACTTCAGATTCAAAAAGTTATTGACTTTTCACCCTGAACGGTGACTAGAGCTATTGAAATAGAGTCAATCTGTTACTGTTACCTTTAACCTATGAGGAATTAAGAATTTAGCACTATGAACAACCTCCTAAGGTACCCATCAGTGCTGCGTACTTCTTATTGCCTCAGACCCTAAAACTCAAAAGACTTTTGGGTCAGCAGTTATAGCGCATCCACTTACAAACCAAAAGTTTATTTTTTTACTGTTAGAAATGGAGAGATTTGTTTCCTTCAGTCTGGTTATTATAATTTAAACTTTTAATTTGTATTTGCCTACCCCACTAAAAATGGTCTCTAGTGAAATAGAATTATTTACTTTATGTTAGAAAACTAACACAAAATTAAATTGTGTAATAGAATTTAAAAAAAAAAATTATTTCTTTATTTTTCCTAAATATTATTAAAGTTAGTTGCTTAATTGAAAAAATTGATGCATAAAATAATTAGACATAATTTTATAAATTACCCCAAGGACTCAAATAGAAATTAAGCACCATCTATTTATATAATATGTATCTATACAAATACAAAAATGAACAGAATTCTATCTTTCAAGTAAAGTACCAGATGTATGCATGGCATACTTAGCTCTCACATATCTCTCTCTCTGCAGGTCACCCACACCACACCTCGCACACACCCACACCACACCACACCACACCACACCTCGCACACACCACAAGTAAAGTTCCATTTTTGAACCCGATGGTCCATGGGGCAAAGGAGAGTTCACCTCAGCATATGAAGGGATACTGTAGTCAGCACTATGCCAAGACCCCTTTACTTTCTCTAACTTGAGTTAGGTACCCATCAGAGCTGAGTAGACTCAAAGACATTCTACAGACCTGAACCCAGATTCAAACTCAAGACTTTCGGGTTAGCAATCTAACACTCTCCTGTTAGTCTGCGCCATCCCCACACCACAAGTACCACACAATATTTTTTCATTCACTCCCGAACATGCAGACACAGACGTAAAACAAGTGTCTCAAACTTCCACTGATGTGTCTATACTTGTACAGACATAAAACAAGTGTCTCAAACTTCCAAAACATAAAACAAGTCTCAAACTTCCAAAACATAAAACAAGTCTCAAACTTCCAAAACATAAAACAAGTCTCAAACTTCCAAAACATAAAACAAGTGTCTCAAACTTCCAAAACATAAAACAAGTGTCTCAAACTTCCAAAACATAAAACAAGTGTCTCAAACTTCCAAAACATAAAACAAGTGTCTCAAACTTCCACTGATGTGTCTATACTTGTGATAATCTCCTGCACCATGTCGTTGTACACCTCCACTTGCTTTTGTGCATTCTCCTCGGCATTGATCACCTCCGTCTAAAAAATGAAAATATTACATTTACAAACACAAGACTTGCAATTTGGACTACTACTCCTGTAGATAATAAAATATTTAACTTATGGACATCAACCTTTCAAATCTAATAGAGTTAAAAAAAAGATTCCCATATCTATTTCCCCCTCTTGTAACACATAGAGATCTAACTTTTGTCATAATGTGCTAATTGGACAGAGCGGATCAGAGATTTAAGATGTGACGTAGCACACATTTAGTAAACATATAATTTTGAATTTTAGTGTTATGGTTAATTTAAAATTGGCGCTAAACATTGTCTAAACTTGGCTGATCCCTAAGCAGACATGTGTTGAATATTAAGTAAAATACTACAAAACTTGGTTACGTACAATAAGACTTGCAACACAGTCAGGCGCAGGGCCTAGTGCTGTGGATTCCTCCAGGAGAGAATTGATTTCGTTGTATTTAGTACAGGACATCTCATCATCATCCTGGTCTCCCCAGTTCTCATAAAGGCCAACAACTCTCTTGTACAAGTCCAGTTGTCTTTGCTTCGTTTTCAATTGTTCTTCTGTTAGATTTTTTGTGTTGTCTTTATTTGAGAGCCATTCACTGTACTGGAATTCAGATCAAATGTAAATGTTCAGGAAATAGATACAAAGTTGATGAAAAACTAAACTGTAGGTGATGATCATGCATTAATAATTGAAAACTAATGGCAGCAATTAGCTCAGCATAAAATAAGTGTAGTGCTAGCATCTAGGTTGTTGCTACCCCCCCCCCCCCCCCCCCCCCCCCGCCCCTTCCCTTTACTAACTTAATCAAAAGCCATAGACAGATACATAAATGATAAAGGATAGATAAAGTCATGTTACATATTAATCTATAAATTATCTGCATAAAAGGCTTTTAATAATTAATACTTAAAATCATCTGTAAGTGGATCGAATGCCTATAGGATCAACATTAGACAAGTAGATCAATGAGCCAAACCTTGGGATAAAACTAACAGACCAAAAAAGACTAGAGGATGAAGAGAAATGAAACAGACTATGTATGAAACAAGTGAAATCATGTTGCTGTATTTTACTTACCGCATCAACAGCTGAACAGTACGCTGGATACACTGTGTACTTTGTGGTTTTTATTTTGATGATGTGCAGCATTTTGTCTATGTCTGTTTCAGAAAAAATAGAAATAACATGTCAAATTACTGAAAGAAAGGTAGCCTTTAATACTGAGATACATATGTAAACATGTACTAGCTTTTCTTTGTGCACTCATTCAATATGATGAACAAATGATGTAAGTTTTATCTGTTCCAGTGACCTTGGCATGTAAAGGGATAGTTCGGTCAGTTCTATGCCCCATTGTCTTGACTTTCCCAACCACCAGTCAGGTACCCATCAGAGCTGAGTTGCTCTAAGGACTTCAGTCAGCATCTGAACCTGAACCTTCCAGAGTACTTTGTAGCTGTATTACTACACTCTACAATTCGACCAGGTCATACATTATACATTAACAATTAAATTATACTAATTTGAGATGTACAATAGCAATTGAAAAAATTTTTAGACATCAATTCTTAGTTACAATTACTCTCCCACTAAATGAAAAAAATGTTTATTATATACATTAGATCAGAAAATAACACTTACAGAAGTCACGGTGTTAGATTTGTAATTTAAAAAATGAATAAAATTGTAAAAAGTAGAGTAAAAACAATACCAAAATCATAGAGATTATCAGGCTCGTCGGAATCTGTGGAGTCAGGATCTTCACTGACTGCTGCAGCTTCTGCAGCTGGAGGTGGTACAAGAGCTAGCGGAGAAACTGACGACAGTGAAGATTTCAATTAGATTAATTAATTATTAGTTTTTGTTTATTTAAGTTGATTACTGCAGAAGGTTTATATACCTTTTTGGTAGTGTGTTACTCTCCAGTTTTTAAGTTAACTTAATCACATGCATAAGTAGCTTAGCTTAACTTATTCCACTAAAGAGTTGGGACTTAACTTAATTAGGTTTACTTAACTTATCAATATAAGTTAATATAACAATTGGCTAAGTTAGTCTTCCTGTGACTCCAAAGCCAAAAGAATTGGGGGATAGGGATACAAAATAAATATTTTTTCTGATTTAAACTTTTGTGGATTTTTTCTTTTTCATAATATTCATCTGACATGTTTTCATGCTCTTGGATTTATATAAGATTAAGTGAATTACTTTTAGTCAACACTAGGCCAACCCATACACAACAAAAGAATCCACGTATATAAATGTTTATTTTATAGTGGTGGTGATCTCCCTTTTGTTTACTGCCAAGAAGTTTAAAAAAATGTGACACATTTTCATTAGAAAAAAAAACTATGATTGGCTGTACTAACTTTTTTGTTCAGTCTCTTCCTCATCATCTGTGTCATCTTTCAATAAGCTGCTCCTCCATTCTTTCACTCCTGCCTTCTCTCTCTTTTCTTCCAGTGCTATGTGGTGGTAGTCCAACGGCATGTCTAATCTACAACGGCAGGGGTTCACATTCATTATTATGGAAGATTACAACTTACTGACTCCTACACATAAATTCTATGACTTCTTTAGATCAATCTACTGACTCCTACACATCAACTTACTCAATTTACTGACTCCTGTAGATCAACGTACTGACTCATATAGATTAGCTTATTGACTCCTATAGATTAGCTTATTGACTCCTACACATTAACTGACTCCTAAACATCAACTTACTGACTCCTAAACATCATGATATAAACATCCTATGATATAAATGTACTGATTCCTACACATCAACTTACTGACTCCTAAATAAAAAGTTACTGACTCCTACACATCAAGTTACTGACTCCTACACATCAATTCACTCACTTCTATAGATCAATTTACTGACTCCTACAAAAATTAACTTACTGACTCGTATTGATTAATTTACTGACTCCTATACATCAACTTACTGATTCCTAAATAAAAAGTTACTGAATCCTACACATCAAGTTACTGACTCCTACACATCAATTCACTGACTTCTATAGATCAATCAAGTTACTGACTCCTACAAAAATTAACTTACTGACTCATATTGATTAATTTACTGACTCCTACACATCAACTTACTGACTTCTATAGATCAAATTACTAGCTCCTACGATATAAACTTACTGAATCCTACACATCAACTGACTCCTACACATCAACTTACTGACTCCTAAACATCATGATATAAACATCCTATGATATAAATGTACTGACTCCTACACATCAACTTACTGACTCCTAAATAAAGTTACTGACTCCTACACATCAAGTTACTGACTCCTACACATCAATTCACTGACTTCTATAGATCAATTTACTGACTCCTACAAAAATTAACTTACTGACTCGTATTGATTAATTTACTGACTCCTACACATCAACTTACTGACTTCTATAGATCAAATTACTAGCTCCTACGATATAAACTTACTGAATCCTACACATCAACTGACTCCTACACATCAACTTACTGACTCTTACATATCAACTGACTCCTATATATCAACTTACTGACTCCTACATATCAACTGACTCCTACACATGAACTGACTCCTACAAAAATTAACTTACTGACTCCTCCTATAAACCTTCATCCTCTCCCTCAGCTCAGTGGACTCGCTCCACTTGACGTGTTTCTCCCCAGGTTTCTTGCTGTGGTCCACGTGGTCAAAGGCAGGTGCGAACAGGTTTCTTGACCTCCTCATCACCACCTTGTCTTCAGCCGCATCATCACCTGCTGTACAGTTGGCACTCATGGTTTACTGACTCTGGTGTAGACCAATTAATATATGTCTTTAAACATGTATATATATATATATATATATATATATATATATATATATATATATATATATATATATATATATATGTGTGTGTGTGTGTGTATGTATATATATAAATTGGTGACACACAGGTGTAGATTAATTAAGTCAAGTTAGATCAGAATTAGATGTTTTATATAGGTATATAAACATATCTATATACATATCTATATAATATACATACATATATATGCCTTTACATATGTATATATATATATATATATATATATATATATATATATATATATATATATATATATATATATATATATATATATATATATATATATATATATATATACATACATATTGGTGACACACAGGTGGTAACCCAGATTATCACCTCTAACAATGTATTAAAACTATAGGCAATCTGGTGTCAACCCTCCCACTCCTAGATCTATATGACACACACACATGGGTCGTCCATAATGACGTCATACTCGTAGGAGGGAGGGGGATCTGGTTGTAGACCGAGGTGTGACTTCATTTTAGGGGGGGGGGGTGGTTTGGCTTTTTGTAACAGTGTGTGGCGGATGGGAGGAGTGTTAAAAAAAAGCGTGGACGACCACACACTTATTGTTTAAAAATATGGATTATCCTAGCAGGTCTACATCCCATGTTTTAATCATTTAGGTCAACATGTCTCGTAATATCCTTCATTAAGTCGTACATTCATGTCTAGGATTTAGATTTACTCTGGGTCCAATGGTGTATTTAATTTTCATTAGAGCTGTCAAGTACAAGATCTAGAGTCTAGTGAAGGACTGTATTTAATTAAACACACACCCAAACCATAGTAAAAAAAAATCATTTCGTTTTGGTAATTACAAGATAGACGTCACGAGTGTAGGCCTAATTAAATTAATTAATTAGATGGGTTTAACATGACCACAGGACGCCTTTGTTTAGCCATGCAGGCCTAACTACCTTGGTTTCTCCTTCCCCCTAGGTCACGTGTGAGGAATGTCCCACCAGACGACAATATTTGTTTCGGTAAGTCACGCCGACCATGTTTTTATACACACAATAGATAGGCGTGGTCTTATCACTATCATACATCTCCGCAATGTAAACAAACTCAATGTGTTATCAAATGGACCGGTGTACAGTATAAAAATAGCCACGAATAATTTTCTCTTACCATAAATAAATATGTTGAAAATTTCAATGATTTAGAATATGAAGTTATTTCCCTTTGACTCAACTGTGGCGTGCACAGATGAATCTCTTGATTACTGTAGACATCCTATTGTAGGTTGGGTCAAAATAAATTTACTGTAAAACTTAAGTCACAAAAAATCGTCTCTCTCTATACATTAATTATATCGATGAATGTAATTTGTGATAAACTTCCCGAAGAACGTGGAGCTTCAGAGTGTCGTTTTAGGTCTCGGCATTTAGCAGTTAATTTAATCTTGTAGGCAGGTGTAGTCAGACTTTAAACATCAGACTGAATTACCAGCCCGCCTGGTATAATAACCCAAATACTGAACAACTAGACCATGACCCATGTATGGACGGGTTAAGCTTGAGCGAGGCCCCTGGCTGAAATTTATCCGAGGTCATTGGTCTTGTATTACCAGGACTAACTATTTCAATTGGTTATAGCTAATAGACGTTAAAAAAATATATTTATATGGAGTGGGGACAAAATTCACGTGCGTCTGGTCGCTGCCCGGGCAGTCTCAATCCGCCACTGTACCCGAGGTACACACAACAATCAAGGGGAGATGACCCGTCACTCATTTAACAGGGGAGATCACCCGTCATCAGCTAAACAAGGGAGATCACCCGTCATTCATGACACGGAGTTTTAGATGATGAGACTTGATACGCTGCTGTGACCCACTAATTATCTGATTAGTTTTTTTTTACTCTCTAGTCCTCACTAATTAGCAATCATGCTGGGAAAAAAATCGGGGGGGGTGGGGGGGGGGGGGGGGGGGGGGGGTCGATCACCTGCCCATGTTCAATATCACACAATTAAAGTGCTGTTTAGCACACAAAATTCAACACTGCACAATAAATCACATTTTGATAAACCTATAAATCATATAGGCCTATTATGTTTGTGTGTATATATATATATATATATATATATATATATATATATATATATATATATATATATATATATATATATATATATATATATATAATAACATAATTTAGAGCCTAGATCTTAGCATATATTACTTTTTCAAATGATAATTAATAAAACTGAAATTGTGTAAAGTTACATGAATTTTCTAAAATACACAATGACCAACGAACCATGACAACTAGTTCACTAAGTTCACTATTCCTCAACGAACCTCACAAGAAAAAATAAAAAAACAACCAACTAATCTACAACGACACCCGTCACACAATAACAGCACCTAGAATCTAGATCAACCAGTGCCACCAGACGAGTGGTCAGCCACTTACCGCTGGTCACCTCACATTCACATGAACAGTCAGCAGCCGTGAGCTCGACTGCCACATTTAAAATGCCTGCGTGATGCCCGTGTTTACGGTACAGCTACACATGTGTACACGGCACGCCATAAGCCTCACTCAACAAGCAGGGGCGAACCCTGCCAGCCCCTCGCCCTGACTTAATCACCGATAATCTCGCCCTTCCTTAGCTAGTCTGTTGAGATCACTCAATGTCAAGGTCGTTTGACATCGTTTGGAAAGTTGTTTTTTTTTTTTTACTCATCCAGAAAATAAATTTTAAATTTTCATCACGAAGGCTTATAACATAAAATGGCGCATACGACAATCACAGAACGAGGAAGCTATTTATGTTCTTTTTTTTTTCAAACTTTTTTTTCTTCTAAATTTAGATTTATATATAATTACGCCAGATAACGATGACAAAAGGATGTGTTATGTGACAACAAGGGGGTGGGGGGAGTCTAGGTCAGTAAGAAATGGGGGGGGGGGGAGTGCATCGGTCCTGCATGGCGCAACCCACTCGAGTCTACTTCCGGTGTCATGGCGTTGGACGAACACGACACATCGACGCGTCCTTCCTTCAATAGGCCTGTAGTGCCGGCACTTGTACACACTTTTTAACGACTCCCTTAAGACATAACTTTGAGCATCAAGCAAGCAGTAGACTGCAGTGTCGCGTATAAATCATCGAGTGAGTGAACCCCGACTTTTTACTTGTCTGAATGTCCAAACCTACTCACACGTAATGTAGACCACTCAAACTAGCCAGTAGACCCTTTATCAAGCAGACACAACGTGGTCGAATGGCAGAGCTTTCGATTGCTAACCTGAAAGTCTCGAGTTCGGATCCCGGGCTCTAGTCCGCCCAGCTCTGATGGGTACCTGACCACACTATCCCCTCCAATGCCGAGGTCACTAAAACAGGTCTACATGTTCCACCTGTGTCTGCATGCCTTACCTAGTGCATGCCCTACCTAGGTCTACATTCTCCACCAGGGTCAGTCTATATGTCCACTTGCCCCCCCCCCCCCCCCCCCCCATAGTATAGCGTATAGCATCAACGATGTATTGAGGCCTAAACATTTTTCTAAACAAAACACCTTTTATGCGAATTCTTCTGTGTTCGTAATGACTATGTTTATTGAACATATGCTACATAAGCTAACCACAATCCAGGATGACAAACACATCGATATCTAACAGCTGATTCGGACACACACACCATCATTGGAGATGTAAGGGAAATAACTTTTGATAGGGGAGACTCGTGAGTTAGCTAGGTAAGAAGTAAGATAATGCTGGAGAAATCATTGAATGGTATTTAATGTACAAATGATCTGCGGAATACACACGAATTTCCAGTTCGGTAGTTTTTCTATAAACTCAAGACATTCATTTGACATTCAAACAATCGACTCCTTTTATTAATCAATTGTTACATTTCGCAATCACGTACATTGATGTGTTTCTCGAGGAATATTAAATTATTTTTGTTACTTCCCATTCTATTTATTAATATCAGCAAGGGATGCAACCTATACTTTATTACGAAATTTGTTAAACACAAAAAGTATTCAATAGTAGAAAGGTATTTCCTCCTATTGTTCAGTTAATGTTCAGCCATGCATATTGAGAAAAAAGTTCATTATTTTCTACAATTTTTATTTTTGCAATGTTTGAATTATTTGAATCTAGTTTAGATAGAAAACCAAATTTAATAAAAAAAAATTACCTTAAAAATCTAAGAATGTTTGGAGTTTGCAATTTTAAATATTAGTGAATTATATTTATTTTGAATATTATTATTAACGCCTATGTATGTTAATATGTACCAAAATATGTAGATACTCAATAACATAAGCCATGTCGTGCATAGGATAATTGTTCAGGTGTAGAATAGTATATAACATAGCAACACTTTGCACTTGTACCGTGTATCTGCTCCAGTCAATAAAATAGTTCTATTTTTTTGTCTAAACGAATTCCTTCTTCAGTTTAGTTCTATTTATTGGTTATTTAGTCGAAGTATGTCTAGCATGGGACAGGGTGGTCGAATGATAGAGCATACTACTGCTAACCTGAAAATCTCCAGTTCAAACACACAGAACGTCCCAGAGAGCACCCAGCTCTGATGTTACCTGATTTGCAAAATGCGGCAGTGGCATAGTGCTGACTACACTATCCTTTCCTATGCCGAGGTCACTGAAAAAGACGGAGTCTACTTTATTTTTTAAAGAGGACTTGAGGTTTACTAGATCGATCAAGTTTCCAGTGGTAAACAGATTTTCTCTGGGGTGGGGGTGAGAGGTGGACCACTTACAACAGCAATATATTTCAAATTTTATTTATATTTTTTCTATTTCATCTCTACTGGATAAGGCAATGCAGTGTACCACTTTCACAGCATACTCATACACATAGCTTAAATCAAGTGAAGAATAGTTCAGATAAAAATTCTTTATTTCTAGCAGAATGAACAAAAAAAACTACACATGAAAAGATAAGAGAAAATTCTTGTATCATCAAAGTATAAAATAAAAACATTTGACAGACATTTTATGCATGATACCATAAATACAAGAGACAAAAATATTGAATATCTTTTGATTAATTGTAGTATTTTTTAAATAAATATATGCCCTGTGTTCTGAGTACTTTAATGAAGGTTTAACGTTTGTGCTTAGGAAAAATTAAGTGACATTTTATTTCAACATTGAAGCCAAACTACAAATGATTATTCTAGACTAGAAAGTGGATTTGTATTGAAGTTCAATGCAAGGCTATGGTCTGTGATTGGTGTATCAATGATTAGTACTGGTTTACAATGTATAAAAAAATTGGTGCTAGCTTACAGTGTGTGAGAAAACTGGTGCTAGATGACAGTGGCATTGAAGAAAATGATAAAAGACAAAACTTCTTTACACATTGTCATCCAACCAAACACTTTGTTTAGTTAGGCAAACAAAGACTTGATTTAGTTAGCCAAACATGACCTGTTTTAGCTAACCAAACAAAGACTTGGTTTAGTTAGCCAAACAAAGACTTGGTTTAGTTAACTACACAAAGACTTGGTTTAGTTAGCCAAACAAAGACTTGGTTTAGTTAACCAAACAAAGACTTTAGAACTTCGTGTGTCTCGGTTGCTTCTGGTTACATGCTGCAGGCTTGGTGCCCTGCAAAAAAAAAATTGTTTTGTTCAATTCACTGTCTTAGGAGTTTTCAAATAGACTTTTTGCACTTTTTAGTAAACCAATCACTAAATCTATTACTTAGACTCCAGGGTACTTTTTGATAGACCAATCAGAAAATGAAAAGAAGACAATTTCCGCCCCACTCGAATTAGAAATAAATGTGCAATGACTGGGAAGCTATTCTACATTAAATGATTCTACATTGGTTTTAGAGTTTGAAAATTGTCTACACAAACCTGGTATGTATCACAGATAAGTTTAACAAGATCTGTTTCAGCTGCCGTCTCTATCTCCTCAGTGTGTTCCTTGAAAATGAATTAAAAATTGAATAATTTTATTTTGTACACCATCACTACTTCACTACTTGCATCTGATCTCAATGTACACCTTATAAAATTAGTTCCCACCATCACTACCTAAATCTGATGTAGCATTAGAAATAATTCAGAGATTTAAACGATTGAAGCAGCAGTGTATTGTGCACACGTTTACACTATTCTTTAACATGCAGATGTTAAAAAAAAAATTACCTCATAAGTTCAAGAGACTATTTTACTACAATAGAGGAAACAGGGTCAAAAAATAACTTAACACTAATTTAACAAATGGTTATTACAATGTTGAATGTATAGTTCAGCTTTGAAATTCGACATTTACAACTGTTTTTGGTGTTGAGATTTGCTGATGGTTCTTAGTACACACATTTATACAACAATTGGATTCCAGAAATAGGAGAGTATTTTTTTTAAAGGGAACCTACTCCGTTTAAGGTAACCCATGGCACAGATGTATGAGGAGGCTGTAAGGCTTCTGTCTGTAGGGCCATCTGGTGCTCCAAATTGTTTCCCACAGTGGATCTGCTGCAATTCAAAATGGAGTCCAATGGTACAGGAAACTGCTGGGCGCACTATGGAAGGCCATTTTTAAAAAAGTCATATCTTATCAAAACAATAAAAAAAATCAATGTAAAATTAAGTCTAATTTCTAACTGTTTAAATACATTTTTTTAAAAATAATGTAGTTTTACTATAAGAATGTAAAAATAAAATCTTAAATAAAAGCCCAAATGTACTTACCTGCTTAGCAGCAGACAAGGGTGAAAGGTCACTGTCCTCTATGCAGTTGATGAAGGGAAAGTAAACTTCTATTTTCTGGACAAGAGCAATGGCGCAAGTCTGAAATAAATAGTTTAATTTCACTCAAAACATAATGTTTTCAGTGTATGTGGTAACTTTAAAAAATCTCATTATGAGAATGTTGATGTGAGGTGGTTGCAGACATATGAAAGATGACTTTATTCAGTGTTTCCGCAATGCACATGTGATTACTTACTTCAATAATGTTTCCCAAATGCCAATGTGAATGACTTACTTCAATGTTTCTCAAAATACCCTTGTAAATGACTTACTTCAATAATGTTTCCCAGACACTCGTTCTCACCATGTTGACATTCAAACACCCAGTTGTGGCCGACTTGTTTTTCCTGTGTTCAAGATTTTAATCACACATAAAAAAAGTGTCCAATTTTCATAGGAATAAATATTAATTGGGCTATTTCCCTTTGGTTACAGTTAGAATTTGAAACTGAACATCAAAGATGAAATAAGCTAGCATTATATTCATTTCTCATTCTCAATTAAAGGACTTAATATTGATATCAGCTTTTAATTTTTTTTCTAAAAGCAAAAAAAGTCTTAAGTAAACTCAACTGCAGACTGGAGGACTCTAGATATGCCATTAGCTACATGGCAATGCAAATGAAACGACCCACCTTAGCATTTCCATAGGGCACCAAAGTAAGATTCATGATGCTTCCAATTTTCTGGAAAGTTGGGAAAAGCATGGTGGTGATGAAGTTCTCGCAGCCTGGACACAAACTCTCATAATACAGCGCAAAATTGACTGGTGCAGCCTCTTCATCTACCCTCCATGCTTGCTTTTTGCATTGCTCATCCACCTGGGGAAAAACAACTCGCAGGTCTGAATAGACGCTCACGTGGTGTCATTGCGAGCAGTGGTACAATTAGTGTTATATTGTCAAATAAACAAAATGCCAGATTTTGTAGAGTATTACTTTTTCAAAATACAATAACGCACCACCATTTAAAAAAAATTGAAGTGTGGTACTATAATTGACTTTTAGTAGGCTTCATGGTACTTAATACATAATTTATATCCTAAATAGGGACCCACTATTTTCATTTTTTAAAAATATTGATGCACCTTTGAAGAAAATCATTTATGTTCTTTTTAGTGCATAATTATATATAAGCTTGCTATTGAAACATTCTTTTTATTTAAAAATACTTTCAATAGAATAAAATTGAACTGTGCAGATAGAGTGATAAAATTATTACGTTAGTAATTTAGGAAAAACTTAAGTAATTCTTGACCCTTGTACGAGAAATTGGTTTGGTAGATGCGATCAAAATTTCGTTTGCCAGTTTTTATCCATGATGAAGCATATGATGAAGCCATGATTATCATTAAGCACGACAGAGGAAGCAAATTAAGTAAAATTAAATCTTAGAAAAATTTTAAACTTCAGAACCCAGTTTCACTTTTTAGCAGATATAATTTTTTCTAGAAGTAGATCTAAAACTCTAAACTTAAACAAGTTAGAACTAGTTTTGACTAGATTTAGACCCAGTACAGTTTGCGCTACTGATTACTAAAACTAGATTTCTAGAAGAAGGCTAGACATTACTAAAAATTACTAATACTAGGCAATGAGTAAAAAACGTATTTAGAGACATTTTAAAGCAGAGTTTCTTCCAGGCATCTCTTGGGGGGGGGGGGGGGAGGGAAAGTCTACCGTCCCGTCCCGTCCCCCCCCCCCCCCCGAACGAAATGAAATTTATATAGGAAATATATACTTTTGACAGTGTCCGCCCTCCCCCGGAAATTGTTGTTTGCCCCCCCCCCCCCCGAAAATTTCAAGTACACCCACGGAGAAAAAAGTCTGGAAGAAACACTGTTTCAAAGTCATTTTTCATTACACTACAACTACCCTGTTGTTAGTAGATCTACACTAGTCTAGTACTGTCTAGTAGTAGCCTAGTGTTGTAATGATTTTGATTACAGTTACAGTCTGAATTAGTTTAAAGAATGAAGACATGGAGAAGAACGCTTGAAGAAGAGGCGAAAACAGCTAGGCTCACATGGGCACAGATTAGGAGAGCAGCCCAAAACTGAGCCCGCTGGAGATGTGTGGTTGCAGCCCTTTGCTCACCAGGGGCCACAAAGGAATGATGAACGGTTGCCCGGACTGAACATGCTTTTGCTGGAAGCTTCCAATAGCTATTACAATGAGCCGCATAAACAAACAAAAGCCTAGTCATTCAGCACACAACTACTAGTAATACTAGTATAATTGTAGCCTACTAGAATGTTATGACAAGTCTACACTACAGTGTAAAGTTCATAAATAGACGTGAGCTTATTGTGTTTAGGATAGCCGTAGTGGCCTACTGTTTTCTGTTTACTGATTAATATTTACCTTATAGATCTAGCTATACTATATGCAGAAGTATGGACTATTGCTAGTCTACAGGTATTCATTGCGTAAATGCTAGTTATTGTAGGCAAGACAGTTTATTGCAGTAAATACAACTATCAAATTAAATCTTACAACTAGAACTAGGCTTTGGTATACAAATGAAGTATACTAAACCTTGTAAACGAGCCTGCAACTGCTACTAACTAGAAATGAACATGTAATTACAATATTTCTTAGGTAAACCATATGCTAACCTTCTTATAAATGGGTAAATATCATTTTTTTTGAGTACATTTTAATAATTAATTATCAAGACAATATTTATGTAACTCCACATAAAAAAATCTGCCATTTCCTAAAAATCCTAAAAAAAGTGACAGTGTGCCCTGACGGTACTTATAAGTCCACTTGTAAACACCGATCTAATACAAAGACAATTTGATTAAAATTGTATAACTAGAAGTTAAACGCGTTTGTCTGACTATTGAAGATGTCAATAAAAAATATTTGGGGTAGAAAACTTGAAAAAGAAGGTAAAACAAAATCAAATCAGAACTGTACAGAAAGAATTGTGAACTACCGATATAGCAAGACATTGAAAATGGCGCCACGCCAGTAATTTTCAAAAAAGCATCGATCCCTCCAATACCGGCGCCCCAGGGGAGATAATACTATTAATTACTTCAATAATTTTTAAAATTCGCATTAAATTAAAAATAATACAGGCACTTAATTAAAGTGGTACTTATAAGTACCGTCAATAGGTAAAGGGTTAAACATAAACAAGGATTCTAGATTAACTTGATGTATTTGTCTTATACAATTTGCATATGTTACTCACCGAGCATTTATGTGCAATTTCTGCATTATCACACCAAAACTGTGGTGGGAGATTGCATGTGGCACTGGAAAAAATAAAAATTAGCAAAAAAGCAGAGACACACAAAAAGCGATCTTAACATGTTGGTTGTCGTTTGGAAATGATCACATGATAGTTTGGCGTAAAACAGTCACGTGAGGATCACGAGACTTTCAATTACGTCTGGGCTATCGTCATCGTAAGGTTAAGGTCCAATTTGTGATTGGGGTATTTAGAATCTAATTATGCCCCGCTCAGAGAATTTTAATAGGAAACTATTTAAGAACATTAAAATACACTAAGTCTTGCTTGCATACTGATCATTTGAGATATTCCATGCATAAAAAATAGATAGCAGCAGTTTCTTTCAGGCATCTCATTTCATTTCGTTCGGGGGAGGCTTTGCCCCCCCCCCCCCCCCCGAAGAGATGCCTGGAAGAAACTGCTGCTATCTTTTTTTTTTTGCGTGGAATATCTCAAATTTATATAATTTATATAGAAAATATATACTTTTAACAGTGTTCGCCCCCCCCCCCACCCGAAGAAAGTCTACCGCCTCCCCCCCCCCCCCCCGAAAATTAAAGTGCCCCCCCCCCCCCCGGAGAAAAAAGTCTGGAAGAAACACTGGATAGCAGGTACCTTTCTTCATTGATCTAAATTCCAAAATACAAACTCAACTTGTCTCGTTGCTAGTTGATTTATTAAATATGGTCTGTTTAGGCCTAGAAACATAAAAAAAACTGATGGTTATGGATTCTAGTTCTAGATCGATATGGAATATAGTAGGCTTAGCACAGTTATATGAAAGAACAGCAGAAAGGTGTTGAGACAACGCTGGACGAGGATAACGTAGAGTTGTCGTTATTGGTGATAGATCTAGTACTGTATTAACTTGATCAATGATTCACAGCCACAGTGTGGTGGCGTAGATGCAGGCGTAGGATTGACAATGCACGTGACGGAGACGATCGACGAAGCACGGGTTAGAATTAGATTGTAATTACGGCGACATCATTTAGGGGGTAGGTGTAGCAGACACGTATCTAATTGACCCGGGCGACCTTAGTGGGGGGGGGGGGGGGGGGCGGACCGAGAAAGCAGGAGAAGCTTATTAGCTGGGTTTGACATTTTTAATCAGGTACCCCAGAACTTTTGGCGACATGTAAATTAGGTTAGGCTTGATGGGGAAGGCAAGAAAGTTAGGACGATGAGGGTTAGGAGACAGTCAAACACGATAACGTGAGTACCGTTACAGCTAGGTTGATGACATTTCATATATAAGTATTTTATCAAAATCGTAGATCCGTATCAACTTTTGAGCGATTTCCTATAATCGGAAGTGGTACTTTTTCTACTTTGAATTTTTCAAAAGCCTACAACTTGAGTACTATTTCAGATAGATAAATGAAATTTCATATGTAAGTAAAAAGTCTAATTCTCTACCTTCTGTCTAATTTTGAGTAATTTCCGTTGACCACACCACACACAGCCTTCAAAATTTAGCTCGCTGTACAAATAATTAGGCCTAGGCTAATCTTCCAGCTTAATTAATCCAATGGTCGCTAATGTTTAACTTTAAAACTTTGAAGTTATTGTCGGGGGGGGGGGGGGGGGGTGGATATTTGCACCGGACACTAGAGTGGCCAATACATTTTCTACATAAATTGTGGGGGGGGGGGGGGGGGGTGAATGTGACAAATGCATTAATTGAACCCAGAGGTGACAGATCTTTTCTACTGCCCCCCATCATTATAGGGTCCTCTTTCAGGTTCGTTTTGGCGAGCCTTTCTTTGCCACGCGATTTTCCCTCAATTTTATTTAAACCCTTCCGTTCTCCACACAGTCTTAAAAGTCCGACCCCTTCCCAGGGGCGTAGCGAGGGGGGGTCGGGGGGGTGCGGACCGCACCGGGTGACACCATTTAGGGGGGTGACACCAAGGCAAAAAATAGCAAAATATATAGAGAAAAACTCGGGGGGGGGGGGGGGGGGGTGGGGGTGCAAATCGAAAGTTTGAGGGGGGGTGCAAATGGAAAACTTGAGGAGGGGGGGGGTGCAAATCGAAAGTTTGAGGGTGGGGTTCAAAATCGAAAATTTGAAAGTTTGTCCCTGGGAAGGGTCTATATGCCTCTGGGGGGGGGGGTGTGTGACACCCTTAAGTGCCGCACCGGGTGACACCCGACCTCGCTACGCCACTGCCCCTTCCCCACACTCGGAGTGACGTCATCTTTGGACCTCTCGCTCATTCTCTTCTGCAATGCGTGTATTTTAAAAATAAATTAAAAAAAAATAAAGGGATGGGAGAGGGGGCGGGCATTATCACATAATTAGAAGATTGCTAACTCCCAAAAGTCCGGAGTTCTAAGCCCCATTTTGACATGTAATACTAATTAAATTGGGAGGACATTTACTTTGCCATTACTAAATAACAAAGAAGAGGAAGAATTATTGATAGTAATGATAGTGACTTAATTTAAAAAAAAATTATGTTTTTTTTAGATTTGACAAAAAAATATACTTGATACCCATAGGCTTTAAACAGTGGCGTCGCATTTCGTAGTTTCACCCCCCCCCCCCCCGCGAAACAAAGTGTATATATAT